GAATTATTTCTAGTTCCACCCCTGCGACTATAATGTGGTTTTATATAGTACATGGATATTTAAGAATTGACAGATAGTCACGCGAGAATTGAGTTTTCTCGTAAATTCAATTTTCTTCCACTCCGCAGCTACTTCGTTTTCTTGCCTCGACAAAACCCTTTGTATTTCTCGTACTATTTTCGTGCAGCATGCAGGTAAGTTGATTTATGCAGTGTTCACATGTCAAAGAAGGTGTACTGACGGATGCCTGCTGCCATCTTAAAAGCAGTAGACTTTATTAGCTGTCGACTTTCGTTTCCTTTCAGTACGAATAAAAAGATCCTTTCACGTAATATCTAGTCGTAAATCCAAGTAAGGTTGTTTCATACGAAATTCAGTCCGTCCACGGCCCGCGTAAGCACCAATAGAATAGAATGAAGAACAAATAAAAAGTTCCAAAGAATCATTAAGTACAGTTCTATGTTATACTAAAGTTTCCGTCGCAGGCCTTGTGATCAAAATCGCGCTTCGATAGATATAATAATTATAACGCGGTTGTAAATTGAGTCTTTTACAGCCGATCACCTCAATGCATCAATTTAATACATACAAGCCTCCTTATCCAGTTGACGTAACCTTATCAACCTATAATCACATAAAATTGTCCATAGTTGGTAATTTGTAAAAAAAAATGTCTTTTAAACAAACAGAATTTTGATATCAGACGACACAAAGTACTCGACTGATTTCCACATCCACAATCATTCCAACCAACGTTACCTCAGAGTGTTGCACAATCAGCATCGATTTAATCGATGCCCATTGTTCTTCAGGGTTCAAAGGTCTCTCAGGAAGGAAGCACGTCATGTGGGGATTGCTCGCTTTTACATAAACACATAATTTCACTCGCGAACGACGGCTCATTCTCAGTTTTACAATGGGCGTAGCGCACGTTTGAATTCTCAAATTTCATTCAAAAGTCATTGAAAAGTATAAGACACTCTGAGCTAGCAATCGATAGAGTATCGAAATAAAGAATTTTTGAGTTCGGTACAATTTTAGAATATTCCTCTTGGCAAGTGTAAAGACAACTACGACACGCTTATTTGCAATTCGTGTAGAATCACTCGGGTGGTAATTCTGTCAATCTTTCTTTTCCTATTGCGACGACGTACGGTGATACCAGAGGAGGACGAGTTTTTATTTTCTTTCTTTTTCCGACGGAAGGAAACGTACGACTCTTCTTAGTTCCACTCAAATCCTCGTGTTACCAAAGTGATGCTTTGTGCGTACTTGTGAAAAATATCGTCAACAACCAGAACCAGACGGACTTTGCAGTTGTGGATGGACCCCTCTTTGTGGACGCGAAGGCGTTATCGGCATTACGCTCTATAACGCTCCTTCGATTCTTCGAATTAGGATCGTTGACGATGCTCGATCAAGTGAAAAATGACTTTTTAGACGGCAAGGAGGACGATTCGATAAAGACAGAATTTGAAACGAGTATCGTACGCTCTAGGATTGAAAAGCATAATGGGGGTAATGGTTAGTCATTTTTTTTATCAAAGTCAATAGATTTGCCAGCGAATGCATTTGTTAAAATGAAAGTTTACGACTAGTGAAATATCATAGGTTTTATGGAAAATTATCGAGATACGTATGTGATAACGTTAACGCCATATATGCCTGTAATATGTATGGTGATATAATGAGATTTAAAAAACTTCTCAAAGTGTGCGTGAATAATTAAAAGCATATAGTAAAAGTCAAGTTAGATCCCTTGAGCTCGTGGTATTATATCAAGTGTCAGGATAAGAAATTCTCAATAACTAGATAATACGTAGCTGCCATTTCAGTGACACGGTTTGTGCAAAAATTACTATGATATTAGAGAAGAAGAACGATGAATAATTCATCGCAGATCAACCAATTTTTTTTATTATCCGACTCTTGTATATGTATATTCATAAGACGTGGCCAAGCGAATTCTGAAATTTTTTAATACCTTTTCTGAGCCAGAATTATTCTAATTCTCGAATCAAATGAAAATTAACTTTATTGTCTATTATCAAAATGAAATGTATAATTCTTCAAATATTTATACAGACTTTACAAATACACAGTATTCGTCGATGGTCATGAATACGTTGAAAATAAGTTGATAATTGATTGACAATTTACTAAATACATCATATTAAGCACTTACTAATAATACATATTAACTTTGATAATTGTGACAATTATTGGACTATAGTCATTCAAATTTATATCAACCTGATCATATACACTGTAAGATTATTTTTTTCCGTTTACAGATTTCATTTTAAATAAAAATCGCTATCGAAGTCTTCCTTACGAAGAAGCTTTCAGGCGGTCGATAGAAAACCCGGAAGAATTCTGGGCCGAAGTAGCGCAATGCGTAGAATGGAGCAAACCGTGGGAGAAAGTACTAGATAATTCCAATGAACCCTTCACAAAATGGTAAATCTCAGTATCACCTTGACATACAGATATTTCTATTTAGCACATAAAAATATTAATAAATTTAGCACATGAAGCACTGTATAGCACGAGTAAAACAGAAACGAGAAAGATACTATATGTACTTTAATGACCATCATTTAAAAGGTACGTAGGTGGCGAGATAAACGCTTGTCACAATGCGGTAGATCGTCACGTGAATGCTGGTTATGGAGAAAAAACAGCCCTTATACACGACAGCCCTCTCACATTGTCAATCCGCCGTATCAGCTACAATGAATTATTGGAAAAAACATCCCTGCTTGGCGGAGGATTAGCAAAATTGGGTGTAAGAAAAGGTGACAGAGTGTTGATATACATGCCATTAATACCAGAGACCATAATGGCAATTTTAGCAACGGCAAGACTGGGCGCTATACACTCCGTTGTATTTGGAGGTAATGACACAGCAGTTAAAAGATGTTTTTTCACACTCGATATCCTGTGATCGGATTAATGCGACGCATCAAGAAATGATTGTACATTATAGGATTTGCCGCACGAGAATTAGCCAGCAGGATAAATCATGCCGAGCCAAAAGTAATAATTGCTGCCAGCTGCGGTCTTGAACCGTCTAGAGTAGTCAAGTAGGTAACGCCATCTTGTCTGTTTATTAAAAGTCAGTAAACATGCTCCACGCGTACCCAATGGCAGGTATACTACAATTGTAAACGAAGCTATGGGTTTAATATCCGTGAAGAAACCACGCTGCATCGTTTATCAAAGGAGGAATGTATGGGAATCACCATTGTTGGATTATCAAATGGATTGGGATGAAGTTTTGAATAGTTCGGAGCCGCATCCGTGTGTACCTGTCGAGGCCAATCAACCCTTATACATTTTATACACGTCAGGAACAACAGGTAATTTCTTATACAGTGAACTTTCACATTAACCCTTTTAGACACAGCCTATCATATATGATATACCCTTTTTTATTCGATTTTTTTAAGATTCAAAGTTAGTTTTCAAGGTAATTAAGGCATTTTTTCACATAGATTCCTGAGGTATCACTGTTATTGTTTGAAGAGGAATGATAATAATTTCGTAAATACAGAGGGCGCTGTAAATAAATGAATTGTTACAAATGTCTCTGTTTTCATAGAGTAAATGTAATCGTGATGAGGCTACAGTGACTAGAAAGGTGAACACCGGAAAATGGGGGGTTTTTGAGTTGCCGAATACGAATCCGAAGTGAAAATATCAAATTTAAAATGCTGGAACAAAAATGGTGGTGCAATATTAAAAAATTAATTATATTTGCTTGAAACTAACTACTGGAAGGGTTTTCCGGTCACTGAATATAATTCTGAAGTCAAAAATACAAAATTTAAACTTCATATTGTAACGAGATTAGACCTTAATATTTTGAAAATCCTCGATGATACGTATCGACAATAAAGAGACGAAATTGCGTGTGAACTTTGAATTTTAAGTTCAACTTTACTTATTAGATGAACCGAAAGGAATTCAAAGACCGATAGGTGGTCACATTGCCACACTGTGTTGGACGATGAAAACTATCTATGGAATGGATAAAAATTCAATATGGTGGGTGGCTTCCGATCTCGGATGGGTAGTAGGACACTCTTATATTTGTTACGGTCCTCTTTTGTATGGCATTACTAGTGTTATGTACGAGGGTAAGCCGGATAGAACTCCAGATGCTGGACAATACTTTAGGTATGGAATATTGATTTTACCCTTCAGAGATTTTTTTTGACGTTTCTTTACTTATCGAATTCACTTTTATTTAGAATCATAGATCAACATAGGGTCAATGCACTTTTTACTGTCCCAACTGCCTTCAGAGTTATAAGACGTGCTGATCCTGAAGCAGTACTTGGGAAAAAATACTCGACCAAATCGTGAGTAACTGATGATTATAAAATTGACGTTGATGATTGACAAATAAAATATTTATGGTTGTATCAATCGAGCATTTCTTGTCTTTGCAGATTAAAAACAATATTTGTAGCTGGAGAACATTGCGATTACGAAGCAAAGGCATGGGCTGAGAAAGTTTTTAATGTTCCAATCTTGAATCATTGGTGGCAAACGGAAACAGGTCATGCGATAACGGCTAATTGCCTAGGATTGGGTCATAGTATCAATCCACCGAAATATAGTACAGGAATGCCATTTCCGGGTTACCTTGGTAATTAAACGTCCCTGTTATCCTTTAAATAGAAATTTTAAAATTCCTTTCTTTCACAGTGGAAGTTTTACGTGAGGATGGTAGCAAAGCGTCGGTTCATGAACTTGGTAGAATTGCTGTGAAGTTACCTTTACCACCTGGTACAATGTCAACACTATTTTTAGCTCCTGAGAGATTCAAGAGTATTTATTTTTCTAAATATCCCGTACGTTTTGCTTCCCAACACTTATAAAATAATAAGTATTACACTTATTATACCAAACGATTATAATTATTTATATTCAATCAGGGTTACTACGACACCATGGATGCTGGATACATTGATGAGTTCGGTTACGTATATGTCACTGCGCGAGATGACGATGTCATTAACGTAGCAGGCCATCGATTATCTACTTCTGCTCTAGAAGATGTTGTACTAGGACATCCTGATGTTGTTGATGCTGCCGTTGTGGGGGTACCGGAACATACAAAGGGAGAAATACCTCTATGCCTTTACGTTTTAAAAGATGGTTCGTTGCCAGAACAATATTTAACTCTTATTTAAATAGTGGTACTATACTTATTTTTCTATTCCACAGATGCTACTAAGAACGAACAAGAAATTACTCATGAAATTGTAGCGAGAGTTCGGGAACTGATTGGACCAATAGCGTCTTTTAAAATTGCTGGTGCCGTAAAAGCTCTGCCCAGAACACGGTCAGGAAAGACTTGTAGAAAATCCATAGCAAACTTAGCTCGTTCAAAGGCAGTTAAGGTCAGTACGAATATAATTGTTTCGCATATAGAAGACAGTCAAAGAACGTTTTGAATTCATTATTTCAGATACCAAGCACTATCGAGGATCCTCGAGTGTATCTTGAAATAAAGCAGGTTTTACAAAAATTGGGATATGCGAAAATGGCACCGGATCCTCAGTGAAAAAAGTGCGTCTGACTATAGATCGTGAAATTATTTACGTTCCATATCTTAATATCAATAGAAATTGCCAGTGCGATACAATTGCAATTGTACGTTACAGTCTAATATATACTATTCAGAAAGTATAAAACCATTTTTTACAACATCGCAATTTTGTAATTTCAAGGTACATAAATATAATTACATTCACGTACAACGTGCAGGCACATTTACGTGATCTTCGTATTGCAGACTTACTGATGTTATAGTTTCAAAAGTTAAAAAATTATAATTAATTGTTGCTACACTAAATCACCAAAATTCAGCGTAAACTATAATTAAGTACAAATTTATAGTTTTTACTTTATTAAAGAAATGTCTCACGTCATATACACAAAGGTATTTTATGGATTCGCGGTATTACAAATCATGCCATATATTTAGTACCAAGATGGCTTTTGTACAAATGTCATACAATAATCTATCGTTGACATACGACAAGTAATATTAATAAAGATGATTGGAAAATCATTCAACTTTCTTAAACTATTTCCTCTTCTTTTGTCATTTTTTCTTAGAAGATCGGGACTGCTTTTGGTTTTGATTCGATTTTCGCTTTCCTCGTACTTTCGGTGTCGTCGGCTGATCTGCGACGGATTCTGTATTCTGATCTGGGATACTAAAACCTGGAATCTATTGCGACATACTATTTAGTTCTATATACAAATAAATATATTAACATTCTTAATATTTATCATTATTATTTAACTATTGTGCTCACCTCTGGTTTCACCAACTTGAACACCAACTTTTCATGCTGCACGTTCGATCTATCCAAACTCAATTGTACTGTAACAGGATCGAACGAATGAAATACGATATTCCCACATTTTTGTGAATGATCCTCTTCGTCGTAAATAAAATTCACTGCCGATGTTTCACCCTTTTTACTAAGATACAATGTCCCTTCTAAACCGTACTTTGGTATAAGTATCTGCAGTGCATTTTTACGTACAAAAAGAATATAGCCTTCCTCGTTTTGTACTTTTTCACGGAAAAATAACTGTGAATGCCAATATAGAATTTTTAAATTGCTTGTTATAACTTAACCTGCATTAGATCATGAAATTAGTGCCAATACGTACATGGGTATTTAAAGCTACTGATGCTCGACCGGCATATTGTGCCATTCGGTTTCGATAATTCAAATTATGACATAGTGCATGATTTTTCCTTTTATCCAATAAATCAGGGTAAGTTGCATCTGCACTAATACTAACTGCTAGAAGCCGATGAACTATAACATCAGCATATCTAAGATCAATGGTACATAGATTAAATTACAGTTACAAGCTCATTCTTTTATAGTATATATATTTTCGTGAACAAACCTTCTGATTGGTGAAGTGAAGTGTGTATAAATTGGACAGGCTAATCCGTAATGGTAAAATTCGTTGGGGTGTAACATACCACTTACAAAATAAACAGCTTGCATCATACAACGTGTCGCGAGTATTCTCAACATCGTATTAAAGTAAGGATTGTCTCTTTTCTGTGCTTCCTCCAACGACTTAGCCAACTCCTTACCAGAGTTTGTGTTTATAATAAATCCCTGGCATACATAATACCGATTAGTTATGATACATAAACGACATATAAAATCAAGCTACAAACATTCCACATGCTTACCTGATGTTTACCAGCTTTAATTAGCGGCTCGAAATTAGTTTGCGGTGGTTCAGGATGTCTTCTCAGCATTGCACATTCTGGAAATTCTGCAACTATTTTTTGAGCTACTGTTATATTAGCAAGTAACATAAATTCCTCAACCATGGCATTAGTTTCTCTTAGTTTCTTGGCCTCAACGTCAATCGGGTCGTGTGTTTCGCTATCTACTTGGAAACGAATTTCCGGTGACGCCAAAACCAACGCCCTGTCAATATATGAATATTAATTTGCATTGAAAAATATATTTTCTTTACATTTAAATTAATTGTTTCTGTTATATACCCATTATCCATGCGTCTTTTCTTCAATTTTTTAGCCAATTCATTCAATCTACGTAAAGAGAATGCAATAGCATCCTTCTGTGTTTTATCATCAATTTTTAATTGCGCTTCTTCATACGTCATTGCTTGTCGCGATCGGATAATGGACTTACAAAACTTCTTTTCAATAACATTGGCGTCATGATCCATCTCCCAAATGCAAGAGAATGCAAATCTCTCCTCATTACCTCTTAACGAACAGAGATTTGAACTAAGCAGCTCTAAAATTCATAATAATACATTTTTATTTTAAACAAAATAATTATTTCATTGATTCAACATAAGTTAAACAATCCAAGTAACGATTAGCAAAAATGAATTTTTCACCTGGAACCATATCAATTCTTTTATCCACTAGGTATACTGTAGTCGCCCTTAAAGCAGCTTCGTCATCCAAAGCAGTTCCAGGTCTAATAAAATGAGAAACGTCCGCTATATGTACACCCACTTCCAAATTTCCATTTTCCAAATCTCTACAATGAAGAGCATCATCGATATCTGTACATCCTGGCGGATCAACTGAACAAATGTCCAAATGTCTGAGATCAACTCGTTGCGCAACATCCTGTACAAAAATGAAACATGTTAGTATTGACAAGCACTCCCTGAAATAACATCTGACAATAAAAATTTAAAAAGGAAACATTTCTCTTGTTTTGTCAGCAATGGCGAAATTCACTGTTCGTTTAAATTGTTTTTTGAAAATAGACATTTACGTTGCTTAAATGATAACTAAAAATGCATAGTCCTAGGTTTGCGAGCGTGGCAAACTGAAATTCATACTCATCTGATAACGATATGGATCAACATATTAATCACAGCGAAACACGTTCATCCGAAAGACTTATCGACCGCATCATATCCAGACTTAGAATAATCAAACGTAGATCGCAGGTAGGTTTTCAGTTTCCACACTGATAGCCTGAATGAAATCTTTTTTTACATACAGAATATTATAGAGTACTATAACGTGGAGCTTGGCCAATACTAGCAGTAGTACCAGTAATACCATGGAAACATCTAGAGCTACTGATACAGGCATATGTACCGTTACAAGTCTCTCTAGTTTTGAAGATGATAATCCTCTGGATCAAAGAGTCTCGTTAACGAATGTTCCACCTTTTTGTAATCAACTTCAAAAATTTATCAATTATATTAAGAGTATCAGTGATTTGAATTATTTCACGTATGAATATCCAAAGTGAGTATCAAGTATCCTACCACTAGTATCCTACCACTGTAATATTAAAATCTACATGTAGAAATATTCTTTTTTATTACATTGATATTAATGAATGTTTTAGTATCATTCAAAAGCGTTTGAATTCTGACGCACAAGAATTGGAAAATATGTTACAAGATGTGAAAAGTGCTCTTGTTAATATAGAGAAATTGAAGGTGCAGCAAAAATTGGTGAAGAAGGAAAAAGTAACCGTGAAGAAAACTTTAAAACGAATGAGGGACGATGGTAAGTCAGTGAATTTTATATTTAACAACTTGGAAAGAAATCTAATTATTATTATTACTATATAGAAATTCGCGAAATAGAAGGTATCGTTGCTCTTTACGACAAAGTAATGTTTTCACGATGGGAGAGTATAAGAAACACTAATAAATCAGATCTACTGGAAGGAATGTTAACCGACATAAAGGTTGTTGTATACTTTATATTATAAACATTGACTAACAATATAAAAATTGGTCTATTTTATTGCGTTCGAAAAGTGTAAGCAGCTCGCACTGGAGAATTTGGGAAATCTTGTATCACAAAAATTGAAACAGCTGGACAAATTCTCTATCACGCCGCAAAGCAGCAAAGAAAAATATTCTCTGTGCAAAGATAAAGTAGCAATTCCTCTTCCTTTTCCTTCATTCACTCAAGTGTCACATGAAAACTCTTCAAAAATTCCACCACCACCGCCAATGCCGCCATCGTTATTGTCTTTGCCATTAGCACCACCTTCTTCTATACCTGTTCTATCGAATCTTTCAAGAAACAAACACGTAGAGCGTTTATCGATGCAAAGACGGCGCAGGTAATTTTTAATTAATGTTTCTAAAGTATTACGGGAGATGACTTATTTTTTTATTTTCTGTAGAAATGAAAGACGAGAAGAAATGTTGGAAAGAAGATATCTTGTTTCTAGTAACACTGACGACCTACCATTAATGCATTTAACTCTTAATGATATATCCCACGGTTTAGTTGGCACTGTTTATCCAACAATAATTAACAATAGCAGTAACTTGATTCATGACATAGGTTCTGCCAGCAGTAGCTCTAATGCAATTACTAGAAGCAATGTGAATGGTGTACATTTGGCAAGTATTAATAACGATAACGGATTGCACAATACACTAGGAAATGAATTTCATAGCGAAATGCAGACTGTTCTGCAAGTTAGTCCGTTTCCCTACTTGTCATTATATTATTTTTTTATAAACTAACTTTTTACAGGCGCTTTTCGGTGACCTTAGAACATTACCCCCATCTCTGGCACCTTATGATAGTTCTAGCAATGCGACGACAGAAAGCGTTGATGGGGCCAATATTGAACTTTTCACATTAGAAAAACCATGACAAGGTCTGTTCAATTATGATGATTTAAATATTACAAAACAAAGATCTATATATAGAAAGTAGCCATTGCTGCATCTTATGATTGTTGACAATACAAAATACTCACCGATTCAGTAATGACCCAAGGTAGTTTTGGAAGGAAGCTGAGCACAGCATCCGAAAACCTACTGTGTGGTACATCATGTTCCAAGAGTAAGACTTCATTTTCTGTTTCTTTGTCTCCTATATTACCCAATGCGCGTACAAAATGTCCAAGAGGATATCGAGAATTACGTGGCCAAGAATCTATTGCCACAATTATCCTCTGTTTACTTAATGTCTCAGATTGTCTAGTTTCTATTCTAACTTTTGGAATTTTTCTCTCAGCTGGGACGAATAGATGCCTAGTATTCTAACAAGCGTAACGAATGTTAGTTATAATTTCTTGAAATATAAAAAAAGATAATTATATAAATATATGTACCCCTTTCACAGAACTTGGTTGTAATATACCACAATATTGGCGCCACTTTCTTCTAATAATCCCAACAATAATACCAGTGGGAGTTTTCTCAGTAGATGGTATAGACTTTTGTTTAATTAACTCTTTTTCTTCCTCAAGAATGTCGCCCGGATCTTCCTCCTCATCTTGAAGAACTATGTCACTCGGAGCTGACCACTGATCTTCTGATAATAATTCCAAAGCTACTATATCGCCATCTACTGCTCTGTTTAAACCTACACGACCTTGTACCAAGACCTGTAATAGTACAAAAATATTAACTAAACGTATGGTTGTGAATATCATAGTAAAGATTCATTTTGAGATAGTACTTACAAACTTCTCGAAGCCCTCCACATTAACGCTTCCTTCAAGAAAATTCTCTCTGGATGCCAAAAATGTTCCCTGTAGCAGCTTTCCTCTCTTGATACCCTCATGCAGTTCAGCTGGAGTACGATGTAATGGAAATAATGGCTCTTTGTTTTCCCCTTCTAGAGCATAACTCTGTTTACATAGTTTATCCAGTAATAAAGTTCCATCCTCCAAAGACGAGACGTACTCTTGCACTATAAAGATTATATGAATTATTTAGAATATTGCAAACTGAATTCTAATATGCTCTTGTAATTATAAATATATTCAAAGTACAAATAACTCTTACTAGTTGCTGCATACAATCCATCTTTTACAGCAAGTTCTTTGTTGTTTGTATCATCAGTTAATAAGATCACTTTTATATTGTGTTTATCTTCTTTTCTGGTTTGGCTAAGACCTAAATGCTTGTTATACCATTTGGTTGCTACTCTAATAGCTCTATCATTGCGATCATTCACTTTCTCACCAGGTTCACGTTCTATATAAGTTTCTCTGATAAGATTAATAGTAGATTATTAAGTGAAAGATGAAAAAATATAACAAAATAAAATAAATATAACTTACTTATGATGTTCATTGATAAATATATAAAACTTCCTTTTAGGATCGCCTATAATATCTTTTAACTTTTTATATACATTGGAACTTCTATGTCGTACTTCTTCCAATACAGTTTGAACAATAATCACATTGCAAAGGGTATTCTCTTCAAGAATGTTTATCTATAAATATAATTATTCACTTAATATCTTATAATCAATAAGTAAACAGAATACCATTGTGCAAGATGTTAAATATATACCTGATCAAGCACGATATTAGTATCTAGGACAAGATAGTATGGAAATGGAAATGAGGAGCTTTTTGCTCCAGGATTTTCATTGCTGAGAATAACATCTCGATTTTTGTGTAAACATTTATTACACAATTCAGATCCGCACCAAATGTCATCCCTAAGATAATGCTCCCTTACAATCTATGCAGGAGATCAATTTTTAAATTATCTCATTAATATTCTAATAATACATGCATGGTACTGCAAAATACGAATACCTTAAATATGTTCCCCCTCTTAGTCTTCCGAAAAAATGTTTTTGTAGTTAACATTTTCTCATCTACTTTAACTAAACTCTGCAATATAAAAGCACGTGTACAATAAATATACACAACGTGCCGCCAGATCCTTCAATGCAACAATTACAAGTGTCGTTCGTGCATCGAAGAACTTGTCGCATTAAAGAACGGTAAACAACAGACTGATAAAACTATACACTCTATTGGCTAGTGGCTAGTTGGTATTTTATCACATCCAATAGCATACTTCTTACATCTCAATAGCATACGTATCTTTTTACGAAAGATTAACTTCATGCCGCATATTCACAACAAATAATGACTTGTCGAGTTTCTGACAAATTGGACTCATTGAACTAAAGTGGAAAGGCACCTTTATTATATAATCCACGAAAAAGGACACAAAAATATGCGATGACCTTCACTCGGTCCTTCAAAGTAATAACTGAAAATTGCATTGGCGACCATTAGTCTTCTAACGGCTTTGATATATCATTAAATATAAAATTCTGCAAAGATTTCTTATTATAACGAACTCTCCATTGGTTGAGATAGTAATTATAACACGACAGTTTCACACGGCACTTCAGTGTTCGTGATTCAGCAGAAATAAAAGTGTTTCTCATCATCAACGGTTAAGCGTTAAGTTTCAAGGAAGCCGGTCGGTCATTCTAGTGTCTTCTATCGTTCAAAACGGTAGCATAGGAACTTCATCATGACTGTCAAGGCAGTTTGCGTTCTCCAAGGAGAAGCCGTCAAAGGCACCCTTTTCTTTGAGCAAGCGGTAAATATTAAGAATCAAATATTGTTAATTAACACATTTTACGAGGAACACATAAGAATTTATATTATGTGAACATATTTTTTTTTCCTTTTCAAGGCGGAATCTCAGCCTGTCAAGGTCACAGGAGAAGTATCTGGCCTGAAGAAAGGTCTTCATGGTTTCCACGTTCATGAGTTTGGTGACAACACCAATGGTACATACATATACATACACATACTAATCTTATCTCTATTACTCAATCGGATAGTGTCATCTTATTTATGTGGGGCAGCAATACATACTTGCATAATTATCTTATATATAAGACGAAAAGTTATTCAAGATATCATACATTTGTATAGTCAATTGCTATATCTAATTGATCATTATTTATGCCTGACTACAATTTAAAGGTTGTACAAGTGCTGGAGCTCATTTCAATCCTTCGGGTAAGGAACATGGTGCACCAGATGCTGCAGTTCGTCATGTTGGTGATTTGGGAAACATCGAGGCTGGAGAAAATGGTGTGGCTAAAGTTAATATCACAGATAAAGTAATCCAACTACAAGGATCCAATAATATCATTGGTAGAACTATTGTGGTAAGAATAATAATAAGAGTATATAGTATATTTCAATAATTAGAGTATTGATGTTCGTGGGCAATCTATTAATTTTTAAATACATGTTAACTATTATAGGTTCATGCTGATCCTGATGACTTGGGTTTGGGAGGTCACGAGCTGTCCAAGACTACAGGAAATGCAGGTGCTCGGTTGGCCTGTGGTGTCATTGGTATCACAAAGTCATGAATTCAAAGCAAAATATAAATTCAAAAGATAAGAACGAATCTACTACCACTGTCATCGTTCTTGCTTTTGCATAATATTGATAGAACTAAGGAACATCATTTATCATTCCTTATATTATATACCATGAATACTTGGATGTAATGTTATACAATGAATCTACTTCTTCTTTTCAAAGAGATGTAAACAAATATGTATTAATTTCTAAGTTGTTGCAAGTAATATTCTTGAAGCATATAATAAAAATGGTTGCTGTATACATGAGTAATAGTCTGTAGTTTTCTTCCCTTACAATTGTAAAATTAACAAGCATTTAAATGCTTTCTATTTATTCCATTTTCATGTGCATGTTTCGTCAACTATGTAGGCTAAGATTATACAAATAAAAATGTGTATATCAATATTTTTTTCAATAACACAGAAAATACAACAATCTCATGAATTCATAACAAGTTTTGTATTATAACATTACAAAATGAAAATCATTTTAGCTGCATTATTTTTATAGAAAATATATCTGTATACCACTTTCACATAATAGCTATTCGTTTTAATCCGACAAGCACTGTTATCGCTTTATACATATTAACACTGCATTGTGACTAAGCTATTGCAAACGATTTTTTTCAAACGTATTTTGAAAAAGGCTTTGAACATCGACGTTGCATTTTTTTTTAATACGATGTAGTAAATTCAAGCGTATAAATATACTGAAGACATGTTGAAATATATCATGCAAATTTAGCACACACTAAACGTAATCTTATATGTAAATACTGTATATATGATGTCCCCATAAATAAAAAATAGATCAGTAACCAGTTATATATTTAAGCCCTTCAGCTAATGACCATGAATATGTTTGAATACTGGTCCCTAAAATTTATTTTCGCATAATAGAGGCAAAAATAGCGCAGACGATAAACTGCAACAAGTAATAACTAAATTAAAGGAGAATTATTAGATCCGTGAAATTTAGATCATATGCTATTCGAATCATTAAACTCAATATCTATACAAATTAAAAACAATAATTAATAAACTGTAACCGCCGTAATAATTTTGAAAACTACAAATTTAGTGATTGATTAAAGTAATTGTTACTGAATTTACAAAATTTTCAATTGCGTTTGATTATAAAAATATGAATCTATTAATAGAATTAAAATTATACATGATTATAACTAATATCATGGGAGTGCCTCTATAATATACATTTAATATTGTCTTTTGTACGAGTTGTAGGGTATGGGTTTTCTTTGCATATTGGGAACACGTTTTTGATTAAATGCAACTGCTAATGCATTATGAGGCAATGGTGGACCAGAATTTCCCCTAAACAACATTAGAATTAACAAGTATAAACCACCGACACATTTACTTAAGAAGTCTATAATTCCTAAGAATATTGGAGTTAACGCTCGTATTAAAAATGATAATTCACGAGTCAGTTTTAAACTGTATTCACTAAGATACCATAGAGCATTTATAACAAACGTTATTATTGTCATTATCATAATCGAATTGAATTTTATAGCTTCGCATATATTGTTATATGTTAAAATCTGCAAAAAGATACATAGTTAATATAGAGTAAGAAAATGGATACATTATCTTACACAATTAGTCGTGTACTTACTCCCTTTAAATTAAACACAGGAAACTCCATATCCTGGAAAACTTTGTTCTCATTTACTTGGAATAGTTTCAAATGCTTTACTGTTATGGATATCATTTTGCCCTTAAATTTAATCGAACGTATTTGGAACCAGTGTTTACCCAAAGGTATTTGTTCCAAGTCAACCCAAAGGGAATACCCCACTACTGTGTCATCCTTGGTTTCACCTGATTGTTGTAATTAAAAAAATAGTTACATTATTTCATTTAAACATATATTATTAAGTCTAATAAGTGGGTTTTAATATAACAATCTTACTTGTTATGCCTAACCATTTAGATGTACCATAATAAGATTGAACTATTTTCTGAATTTCCTTCAAAGCTTTTATTAATTCATCCTCTTCCATGCTTACCAGAATTATATCTCTAATCACAAATATAGGTTATTATTAATAATAGTATATCACAACTTATGTTAGGAAATTGATATGAATTGAAATGAATGAAAAGATACATACTTATACGTTTTAAGAGATTCCACATAGCGTCTTTCTAAGTATTGGCCAATAAAAACTTTTTTCCCCAATAATTGTTTCATTTTCGTTTTTACCTCATTGTCTGTTGTGTTTAAAAGAGATGAATTTTCTAACAGTCTTGTTGTTTCTGAGGAATCTTCCATGGCCTAGAACAATAAATATTTATACCTACATACATACGTACATTTTTACCTCTGCCATAAATAATTCATCTTTTGAATTTGCAAATTTTATCATTGTTTCAATAAAGAAATGGATATTTTTCAATTCTCATTTGTAATTATGTTCTATGATTTCTAAATTATTAATATGGTAATACTATGTATGTACATAAAATGCATTTACGTACGGATGTTACGCTTGTATTATATGTACGTTAAATATTTTATCGTATAAATTCCAAATTCAAAAGCAATTAATTATTACAATACATAGTAAATGTAGCCTGTCACCACATAAAAATATTAGATATATGTACCATCTCTGTATGTACTTGATATGTACAAAATGTACAAGATATATGTATATGGAAGACTTAAAGGCCGGTTTTTATGTTATAAATACAGTTTTTCTTAATCAACTTCAATAACATTTCTTTTATACATAATGCATAATCAACACAAAGCTGGAAATATATTACAAAATCACATATCGTATATGTGAATCACAATCAAACTCTAATTCTAACCTAACAAATTGTGTTAGTCCAACAATAAGTTATAGTCAATGACAACAGTGGTACCATGCACGCTATTGGTTTATCAGAAATACCAACTAGTTAACGACCAATAGTGTTTGGTTTATCAGCTGCTATTCATTAATTCTTCTAAGAATTCGTCCTTGCAAAATCTGACGATCTACTTCAATCTACTAGTGATTTGTCAGTGTACGATGCACATGGCGGCAGATATTAACCACTGAATATCGTTCAACAATGTGTTTCTCTAATAGGAAAATTAAAGATTCTTGTGTTGTTGCATTTTTTAAAAATATGTTCATTATGTTTATGATATAATTTATGAAGTCTGACATTGAGTATAACTGAAGCGAGTTGTCACGTAAGAAAAGTAAGTAACACCGGCAAACGTAAACATAACGAAAGCATATATAACCTCATCTTATACACGCCGGAATTTGTTGTTTTACAGCATGCAAGAATATTGTCCATTGTGTATAAAAGATGGGCTCAAGAAAAAGATTCGATTGTTGCAACTTAATCTGCAAGAGGCCTCGTGGGTGTGCGAATCTGAAGATGTGAGTTACCTAAATGAATATTTCGTAATAACATTTTTTCCTATATTTAAAAATTTTGCTTTTTAATGTTAGTATAAAATATAATTATTTATTTATCTAAAGCTTTACTTAACATTCACTTTGCGTATTATGGATGAAGAATCCAATTATAAACAATTATATTTCATTATTCAACTTCTTAATTATTTAGTGTTATGTAGAACAAATTTATTAGTAATAAATTGTAAGTTATTTGTTAAATGTAGTTATTAAGTTTTGTTTTATATTATAACTTTATTTTTTCAGTGTATCTGGCCATGGGGCTATTATGATATCCAATTTGTTTCAAGAAAAGTTGGTAAAGTATGGTCATTTAATTGGGATAATGGTACAACTACAATACCAAAGACTCAGGAACCTGTTAAGATTTATACAGAACTGTCACTTTATACTCCACCAGTAACACCGAGTTCAGAGGCAATTTTGAAAGAACGAATAACTTCTGAAATTCCATGTTCTACTAGTATTCCTATATCAGAAAATCAGGATATCCTTGATTCTGATATTCATGTTATAAAGACAACAAATTTCACTAAAGATTTGAGTATAAACAAAATATCTGAAAATAGTATGAAGAAATTTATGCCTGATACAACAGATACATGTTTGTCCAATAAAGTAGATATATCTTCCTCAAAATGCACGAGTATATTTGATGTGGATGATATAGAAAAGCAGGACAATTGCAAGATATCAAGTATATCATCAACTACTACAAAAAAATGGACATCATTGATTAAAACCAGTGAAACAGTAGAAAGTTCTGTGATTCAAGATCAAATGAAAGAAAATAATCTTTGTAGTCGTGAAAATAATGTGAATGCAAAAGATGAGATTAATATTACTCAATATCCTATGAGAGAATCTGAAACTTCATCAGTTTCCAATTATGAGGATGAATCGCATATGAATGCAAGCTGCTCACTATCTCACAGTATACCTAACATAAAAATGAGTGACACTACTAATTCAGTTTGCAGCAACATCTTACAGTCTGATACTACCAAAATTAGTGAAAAGAATGTCAGCCTAGAAAATAATACTAACATTAAAAGCGTTCCCACTGTTCGAAGCGTTGAAAAAATAAATGTGGACATCACAAAAGTCGTACGTAGAAAAATGAAAAATGAAAATATTACATCAATAGGGAGTACTGCAGCTTCCATAGAGAAAAATTCAGAATTACAAAATAATAGCAATGCATCTCCTACCTCTAAAGTACTATTACAGACAACAAAGCAAACGACAAAATTGTTAATGAATTCTAGTTCACAATCGGCGGAGCATAACATCTCCTCTATAAGTAAAGATAAATGTACGATGAATTTAAGCAATGAGTCTTCAGATAATAGTGAAGTTCTTGTAAGTAATAAGGTCAAACCACCTCTGCAAGTGACTACTATGGAATTTGACGGATTACCACCGATTACATTAACTTATGAAATGCCAGAATTATTAGAGGCAAAAGGATCTATTAAGAATGTAGATGAGAAGACTCAGTTGCCTGTTGAAAGTATTGCCGGAAGTTCAATATCGGAAAATAATCCTGACGAACTTTTATCGATTAATGAAATACTGAAAAAGTCTAACAGAAAATCGAAACGAAGTAATCTTAATGGGATTAAGTATGAAAAGTTTAATTTTAATGAGATTAGAAAAAAATTAAAACAAAATAACAACGGTGACAACGCTGGTACAAATGTTGCCAATGATTTATCATCTAAAAATGAAATTTTCCAAAGTTCAGATGTCAATGTTTCAAAGACCATTGATATTATTTCTAACGCCGATGATAAATGTTTCACCATAGTTCCTATTAATGAATGTCAAGTCGTATCTCAATGTAGCACACCAGTAGAATCAAATATTCATGTAACCGTTAGTAATATTCCATCAACAGCTGCCATAACACCTGATAGAAATTCAGTATTAACGCCTAATATTAATATAGACTCCCTTTTAGATTCATATAGTTATTTAGTTAATAATAGTCAGGATATCTCACAAACTTTAAATGACGATTGGTTGGAGTCTTTATTAAATTAACTTAAAACTATGCAAAGATGGCTATTTTTCATAGCCTGCCAGTTTTACCGTATCGGTATCAGTTTGTACAGTGTTTATTTTGATTACGTATATAATTAATATTTGATATTAAAAATGTTTGGTGAACATATACGACGGAATGAACGAGAAGATGCAAATAGAAACACAATGTTTAAGGAATTTCTACGCTTCAAAATAATTATAATTTATGATTTTCTCCATTTTCTTTAGAAAGTAATACAGCAAACTAATTATAACAATTTATTTTCACAACTTTTATCACACTTAATAATTGTGATGTTATTTTTTGTAATTTGACTGCTGGTTTTTGTCGAATGATACATAGTTCATGGATATCTTGTTATATTTTACTATCGAAATAAAACAGCGATAATATTTTGTTAAAAAAGAGCAAAACATTTGTACAATTCTTTTGTTAATAAATTAATTAGTCCATTGGAACTGTTACATGTCAAATTATTCTCTATGTGTGGGATCTTCAACCTTTATATTACCTTTTCTAAGAGGACCCTTCCTTTTCTTGAATGTTGTCTACTTTTCTTTTCTTACTCATTACTTATATGATTCCCACAAATCAATTCCTCAACTGCTTCAACTCATCAACAGTTTCGATTTATGTCAGTAACTCAATAAACAAATATTTTACTGCTGGGATTATACCAATCTAAACCCAGAAGTTCAGTTTTAATTATTCAAAATCTTTCAATTAATTTATCAAACTTTAATTATGGAAGTTTACATAAGATTACAGAAAAACGTTAAAACTTGGAGTATAATCATGTTCTATACAAAACAACTATCATTGTTCATATATATTTTTATCTACAATTCTTAAATTATTAACACTAATTTAAAGTAATCATCAGAACTAATGAAATTTGTTTCTCAGAATCATAGTTGAGTCTGCTATGTGAAAACATGTTGAGAAATATGTAAGAAGTAGATTTTATACAAATACTCAGTGTGCCAAATGATTCTTATAATTTTATACTATCCAGATTATATTGCACATTCCTTGCATGCATTATTTGATCACATATCACTTGCTTCATTTAAAAAATGCTCACATAGTGAAATCATCTTTATAGGGTCACTCAGGCCAAACGCAGCATCTCAAGTTAGTCTGTCCATTTGATTTCTATGGTACAACCAACTCTAGTCGGTGCTATTGCACTGAATGAAACTGTATAATCAATTGTATGTATAATTGATACTATCAGTTATAATATATTTTTGCAAGAGCGCTGTATTTCAATGCGAATTTTTGTACACATGAACTATTTACAACACCTTAAAAGTAAGACATTCTCTTTCATAAAAGATAGACGTATATGCAAGTTGCGCTTTTTCGAAATAAACATGCACCGCGAAATAGCTACAGAATGTTAAAAATTATTAGAAATTTATAGCATACATTATTAAATTTTATTTTATAATTTTTTTCCAGTGTCGAACACGATTTGTAGATCATAGCTCGGGGTCGTGATGATATATATAAAAAGGATAACTGTTCTTCAATATCAAAAAGTGTAAAATATTTAACTCAACGTATCTCATTTAGAAAATTCATATTGATATATTTCATTTCATTGTAATACCTGTATATTATCAAAGTAATTAGCAGACAGCTGTTTCAATAGTTAATACAAAATTTGTGTAGTTGAACGAGCTATGATTATATCTAGAGTAACAGTCATATATTATTTTAAATAATATTTATTTTTAATCTGTAGTCCATTATAATTTACACTGCTTTTTATTACATGGTCGAATAGCGCACGCACATTTTTATCCGATGAAACAACTGTCTCATAAACAGAATGGCGTTCACTCGTCTATATCTTATATTTTGCAACAAAACTTCACGGTTATCTGCTGTATGAAATTCTTTATGTTCTCATATCCGAAAGAGTATTAAATCTAGAATTATTTGTTCTGAGTTGTATTTAAATTGATACGTAAACAATAACTCGGTTTTATGAATATAATATATGCTTACAACTTGTCACATCGCTAGAGTACATTTTATAAATAAATTTGCTATTACCTCAAAGTGATGACATGCCTGTAAACGTATTACGACACATTGATAAAGTTTAATAAACGTATAGTGGTGATTATAATAAACAATTGTTGCGCAAAAACGCTCGTACATCACGTAATAAAGAAAAAAAAAAACAATACATGAGTAATAGCACGAATTTGATACAGTAGGCTTCACGTACTAAGTTTTCTGCGAAATTAATCTATACTGATTCGACGAGTGGAAGGAGTAAAGGAAACTATCAGAAAAAGATCTCATAAAAACCTTTTGATATTTTCTAGAAATTATTCTTACGCTCAAGCAATGAAAGTAATTACAAAAGTTCAAATCTTACAGTATCGACAATATTACAATTTCCGATAATTAAGTTGATGAACCGTCACAACATAAAAAGATCTTGTGCAAGGAAGCGATACAGTTGAAAACAGACTAAATGAAATTGCACACCAAGTGCATTTTACCTGCCATATCTGCTAAGAGAATTGATTGAGCGTTTCCTCCCTGTTTACGGTATGTTTGGTGTACAGATTTTTATAAATTTCCTAATCTTAAGCATAATCGCCCTTAACTGTATGTCCATGCAATAAAATTAACAATAATATTAATTAATAATGTATGAACCTTAATTACTTTGCGTAAGTTATTACTTTGATAAATAAAAATATTGCGCTTGAATTCAATCAATTAGTTAAGTATGTACACACAATACACATTGTTCGGTCGTTGGTGGGAAGATATTTAGAGTTGCGGGGCACTTACCACCCAAACGACAGGTTCGATTCAATCGAGGTTTAAAGAGATTTCTACCACCAAAGGATAATCTAACACTCTAGCGTTCTCAACTTATGATCAACTCCAGAGGGTTTTCCTGCAAAAGATGTAATAAAATGATAACACTATTTGGTATTTATAAATCAAAGTACTAGATATTTATCCCAATGTGCTCCCAGTCAGTAACGAGTAGGCTATTGGTTGGAATAGAGTTGAAAAATACAATATGCAACAAAATATTTATTTTCATTTTTTATTGTAAGAATCTTTTTGATTAATACAACAGTAAAAATAAATATTATATTGGCGTTAAAGGTTATTTAATAAGAAGCTAAATTCTGTATCATGAATGAGAATGATACTGAAATAGATCTTTGAGTTCAAGTTCATTTTGTATATTGTATCGAAGTTATACGTGCATGATAATATTAATATATGATATATTTAGAAAAAGAAAAAATATTAACAAACTTACGCCGGCTTCGAAACCTTTGCTGGAGTGCTTGTAGAAACTCCAGGCGTCTTCTTTTTACCACCTCGGCATTTTTTAACATAGGCTTCTATAAGCTGTGCTATTTTTTTCGGATTGATTTCACCTGTTTTATTATGACATATCTGGAAAAGATGATACAGTTCTAGTAAATTATAAACGATTTACCAGTAAGAGATGTAAAACGAAGTAGTTTAAAATTTAATTAAAAATTAAAGAAAGGGGTGTTCATTATTTGTTCTATGCATTTACCAACATTCTTTAGTAATAACAAAATAGCATACCTTAGGTACAGCTTTGCGCATAATATCTTTGTATTCCTCCTTCGTCACGTGCTTCTTAGTATAATGTGGTTTCAGAACTAACTTTACTTCCTCCACAACTCTTTCCTGACGATTCAATTTTTTCAGGAACTGAAAACGGAGAACATAAGGAGTTATATTTGAGATCTATAAAATTTAATTTTTATATAAAAAACCCACCTTATCCTTAACTTGCATTTCTACAGCAGAACTGGGAAGGTCATCTAAAATCTGAAGCTGATTTTCATCCATACGAACGCCAACTTTTGGATTTGTAGCTGCAATTAAAAGAGGATCCATTACAATCAAACTTAAAATACATTCCTTTCCATGATATAGTGCATGTACCATTCACATGATCTACGTACATTTTTTTCGTTTATCCTTATCAGAAACTTTTTTGGATCTACCCTTGCCCATTGTTTTTACTGCTGGTGACGTGCCAAACAATGCATCAAATGCATCTTTCTTCTCCACAGGTTTGCTCGTTTTAGATGTACTATTCTTATTAGTACTTGCGGCAGGCGCTGATGGACTATTATAGTTCCCAGGGCTTGGTGGGTCAAAAATTCCATCACTGAGACTTGAGCCCGGAGAATAAGGCGAAGACATGTCCACAGGATCATTCGTCGTTTCAAGTGTCGTGTCGCTGCCATTTTGGCCCATAGATGAATTACTTTTATTCTGAGTAGACTTCGAACTACGCACTGGCGTAGACTTGGCAGGATTAGTAAATAAGTTAGGAAGTTGTGGTCTGTCATTCGTGCGCTGTTTTGTTTGATTACTTGGTGATATACGATTCGGCTGAAAAAAAAATTAATATTCGTAAGAGTTTTCTTAGTATAAATTTAGCTAGAGTTGAGCTGTTTCAGGAATACGTAACACTTCACTGTGTTTTTACCAGTAATGGACCAGAGAGCAGATTATATCTACATTAGTACTTATATTTGAGTTTATTCTAACACAGTGAAGTTAACGATTCCTAATTGATCAGCGTCAATTGCTTACCTGTAATAGATTTCTTTGTCCAGTAATGGGAGTACTTGTTGCAAAAATAGTACTTCTTTGTACAGCAGCAGCAACAGTTGCCAATACAGGATTAATGGTTGTAAAAGAATTAGCTGCCGACTGAGCGTTTTGCTGATTCGGTTGTGATTTTGATGGACTATCAGCCGGTTGTGAAGCTTCAGTCTGATTATCTGCTGCAGGTGATGAGTCTCTTTTAGGGGATGCTCTCTTAATCGTGACCATCGATATAATCTTTGGTTTCTCAACTTGTTTCTCCTGATTTGGTTGATCTAGTTGCTGAACCGGTTCGCTCGGCATCAATGGTGTGTCAGTTGCATCGTGTTTTCTTGGTGAATTCCGTTGACTTCTATCCCTTTCGTCAGTGGGAGTGGCTTCTTGACTGGCGACTGGGGTTGGTGACCTAGATTTTGTGGGGTCAAAGGGATCATAGACATCGGGAGAGGTAGGTGGTGAAGATGGTGGTTCAGGGGGTGTATTGGGACCGACTTTTAACCGCAATTCTAATTCCTCCTGAGCTCTCATCTCTAATTCTTCTTCTGCTCTTTCGTCTATCTCTTCCTCTTCTTCCTCTTCCTCCTCGTGAAGAGGATTGATCATGGAAGTTCTTAAGTTGCTCGTTTGTTTGGTTATGGAGAACTTAACTTGTGGCTCCGGTGGAGTTTTAGGACCTTGGGATACAAATTGCTCGTGTTGCGGCGTTGCTTGTGAAGAAGGACGTTGTTCGGGGGTAGCACTTTCTTGAACTTGCTTGTCGTCGTCGTCACTCAGCACAATGACATCACGTGGTGACGGAGTTTGTTCTCTGAATGGAGATTGATCTAGATCTATGACTGCCACAGGTTTCTTCGTTGCGGCAATTTCGGCAGCTTTAGATTTTTTCTTTTTCTCTTTTTTCGCTTTGGGAGATTTAGATCTCTTGTCCTTCGTTTTGTCTTTCTTCGGCCTTTTCGGCGGTTCCACGTGCACTGGTTCTCTTCTCTTACGTTTCGTTGGTACCAGAAGTGGTAATGTTTCTGGGATTTCAGGTAATTCTGGCTGATTCGTCTCATTGTCTTTATTGAAGCATACGCTTACTAAGATATTATCTCCACTGGCGAAAACCTCCTTCGAAGGTGGTGGGGTACGATTTCTTTTATTTTTCTTACGTTTCTCAGTCTCCCTTGATTTTTTGCTCTCTTTTCGCTTTTCTTTCTTCTTCTTTTTGATGGCTTCTTTATTCGTGAGAATGACAGTCAAATTTTTAGGAGGTACTGCCACATTATCAAGTACTGGTGGTGGCGACCAGGTGTGGGAAGCAATTTCATCATGTTGAGCAGCTGAGGGAGATTTTGATCGTGATCTAGACCATGATGGAGTCCATTGGGCACTCCATGATCTACGCTCTTCTCTTTCTCTCGATAAATTTCGTTCACGCTCCACTGGTTTCTCATTTACTTGATCCCAATTCCTATTACGATCTCTTTCTCTGGAAGATGACCTTTCTTTGGATCTTGATCTGCTCACGCGTTTCCTCTTCGTGTGTTTCTTTTCCCGTGATCTTGAAGATGCCTTCTTCGGACTCTTTGATCGTGAATTCTTACGATTTCTTGATCGACTCCTGGATTTGCGTTTCTTTGACTTGTCTTTTCTCTTTTCTCGAGATCTGGATCTTGTTCTTCGCTTCCGTGAAAGTGATCTTCTACCGGACCTACGTCGCGGTGAGAGTGATCTTCTTCTTCGCGATAAAGATCTTGATCGTCTTCTGGATACAGATCGCTTTCTCGACAAAGATCTACGTTTAGAGCTTGATCTTCTTCTAGGTGATTTCCGTCTTAATCGAGATATTGATCTTCTTCGTGACAATGATCTACACGGTCTGGAGTGTGATTGCCGGTCTTTGGACCAAGATCTACGTACTCTGGAGCGAGATCGACTTCGCGATCGCATTCTCGAATATGAACGACTTCTACGATCTCTCGAGGTTGATCTTCTATGTGAAAGGCTTCTACTCTTAGATCTACTTCTCGAATCTTCTCTGATGTCACGACCGTACTCATCCTTCCTTGGTCTTGGAGGTTTTTCGGCAACAATTTTTCTAACATCGTATCTGGGCAATTCTTTCCTCTTCTCTTTTTTCTTAACTACTTCCTTCGGTTTCTTTTTTTGTTTCTCCTTTTCTTTCTCTTTCTCTTTCTCCTTTTCTTTATCTTTTGATTTTGATCGTCTATCCTTGTCACGATATTGCCTTTCCTTCGTGCTCTTCGAAATTTTCTTCCATGCGACTTGATTCTCCGTTGCAATATTCTCTTTATTTTTATCAGCGTCCTTACCCTTCTCCTTTTTATCTTTTTTCTTTTTCTTTTTACTATCGTCCTCTTTCTCAAGTACTAACTTGACTTTATCAAGTACTTTCTTATTCGATTTACTCTCGTCCATTATCTCACCCTCTTCCATTTCCTTCTCCTTTCGCATAGTTAACAATGCCAATTCGTCCTCGAAATTCATGGGCTCATCTGTCTCAGATATGGCTTCTGTACCTAAACCAGCATATCCGGCTGGTGTTCTGCAACCATCTAAATCATCAGTCACTTTATCTTTCGTTGGTGTAATGGGTTCCAAACCACTTTCAAATGGAGATAAAGATTCTCGAGGTACGTCTTGTCCCTTCACTGGTAATTCATCCTTGCAAGGAGTGTAAGCACCATCGGATTCCCAAGCGCTGGGCTCTATATTACGTTTAAGGTCCGTACAAATATCCGTCTTATCTTTTTCGAGTGGAAAATTTTCAGAATCGTCATCAGCATCAAAACTGGAACTTCCCTTTTCTCGAATTGGATCAGAATTGTCTAAATCTTCACTTTCACTAGCAGTCTTAGCCCTACTGCCCTTTTCGCTACTTTTATCTTCACAGTCGCTAAGTCTTCGTGAACCTTCAGCAAAGTCATTTTCCTCGTTAGTAAATTTAATGGGGGATTTAGACTTGTTACGAAAATGTCCTTTAGAACTTGACAATTGATCCCAATTATCCGGTTCTCTAGTGCCAGAACCGCATTCACTAGGACTGGTTCTAGCTTCATCGCTCTCACGATTTTCACCTGAATGATGATCTGCACATGTCGCATCATTGTCAGTATTCTTAGGCGACATTTGGATTGTATCCGCAATTGAAATAATAGTGTCTGAACTTTTTTCAGTTAAGTCTATCGTAGATACAATACATTTACTTTCGGTCGAAGAGCATTCTTTCGAAGCTGTATCTTTTTCGAGGCAAGAGTCTGCATTATTATTCTGACTACTATCTGTCAGCGAAGAATTGTTACGCTTGTTATCGTTCTTCATCTTCGATGACATTTCATTTTCCAATTCTTCTTCAAGAAGAGCTTCCCTAACCTTCAAAGGCGATTGGTTATCCATCTGCTTTTCCATTTCTTCTTGTTGTTCTATTTCACGCAACTTTCTTTCCTTTTCCTTAAGTTGTTTCTCAAGATCTTGCAGTTTCTCTTCATCCTCTTCGTCCGATTTATTATCACTTTCATTGGGTATCTCACTTTTATTTAGCGTGCCGCTTTTATCTTTATCTGTGCTTATTTCGATTGATACTTTTTCTGACTTCTCAAGATCAGATTCGATTGGTTTTTTATTATTTTGTTTAGCGTCTCTCGACATTTTGTCTTCCATTTGCTTCTCTTGCTCAATCGTACTCTCAATATTTTCATCAAGTTCGTCATATAAATTACTTAATTTGTTATTGAGCTTCAATTTATTCCCAATCTTGAACGTGATTTTTCCTCTGCTGTCGTTGGATATTTTTTTAGGTGGTATCCTGCTGAGTGTTTGTCTCTCCTTTTGTAATGCTTCAACATAAGGATCAGAAGGTTCAGGAATATCAGCCAAGTCGCAAGGTTGAACATCTCCTACAATAATGTCATCATCGTCCGGCATATCCGGCGGCAATGGTGGAGGTTGTAGAGGTCCTATCTGTTGAGACAATTCTTGCTCCGTATGTCGTACTACATCCATCGTCTCTGAAGAATAAATTGAAAAATTTGGACAATCAGCTTGGGAGTCTTCATCATCGTCATCGTCATAGGCCGTAAGGCGAACAACAGGTTTGATATTTTCCTCAATGGCTTGTTTTACAGCTTGATTCACAACATTCAGGGCTGGAAAATTTGCAGGCAATGGCGGAGGTTCTAAAGGTATCGGTATGTCATTATTATCTGAACAAGTTTCAGGTTTATCGATGGGTGCCTTGTTACCATGGGAGCTCTCATTGCTGTCGCTATCAGCTGCAAACGGATCATACTTGTCATCACTTTTCAATTCCTTAGAGGTATCTTCTTTCGGAGTGTCGTCAATGACTAATTCTTGATCGCTATCGTTGTCTTTTTCGCTTGCTGAGTTTCCTTCAAAATCAAGTAAACCAGATGGTGGCTCCGGTGGTGGTAGCAAGGCAATCGCGCTGTCATTTTGACTCTCCTCACGAGCGTCACTATCTGATTTGTTAGGTGTCTCGATATCACAATAAATATCACATTCTTCTTCATCCTGCGGATTTTGAGGTGGTCCCATAGATTCAGGAGTGACGTGTGAGCTAAATGATTCTCTCTGATCATCAGAAAAGTTTCTCGAGAAATCATCATGATAATTAGGGGGTATATTATTTTGAATTGGTGGCGGACGGATGCCCATTGGTACCGAGGGATTTGGCATCATTCCCATCGGTGGACCAGGTACATTCAAAGGTCCCCTAGGTCTTGGAAAGCGTTCAGGATAATGAAAAGGAAGTCTTTCTGCGCCATCCATGAGAGGGAATGGAGGTCGATCGGTAGGAGGAAGACGTGGTCGCTCATTACGAAAATGTTGAGGATTACGATTTCTAAATGGAGGGCTACCATTGAATGGTGGTGGTCCACGGTGTTCGAAGTTGGGATTATAATTGACAGGAGGTCCGAAATCTCGGCCACCAAAATTATCCCTGGGTCCAGGACCCCCGTAACTGTGTCTTCCACCGCCTGCGTAAGAATCTCTTCCACCGTATCCTTGTCCACCGTGGCTGTGGTGGCCACCATCTCGATAGCCTCCACGAAAGTTTCCTCTGTTTCCGCCGCCTCGAGAATTGTTGTACATAGGAGCCTGAATTATGTCGCTGGGATTGACATTTGTTAAGTCTAGAGGTCTTTCGCTTTTTGGGGTGATTTCCTTTTCTTGGATAATTTCCTTCTTCTCCTTGATAGGACTCTCATTGTTGTTGATGCTGTGCTTGTTTTCTTTGTTCTCATTCTTTACAAGCAACGTACCATCCGCCTTGAGAGTCATATCGGACATCTTCGAATGCCAGAGCTCCTGACTACTAATGATACTCCCAACCAAATCGATAACACCTGGCTGGTCAGTACGATCAAGCGGGTTGGCGATGCCTTTCAGCCTTTCAATTCGTCGTCTGGTCGCAGATACTGCCGACCGCGGATGTGCACTAACTATTGGGCCATTCCCAACAGCACTATCGAATTCTTCGTCGGACCTAATTGAAAAACAAATTGTTTTCATGCTACTCAGATGCATCCAAGTAACTAGTTGCATCTTAAAATATCACTGTATTCACAGACAAGACCCCAAATTATTTTGAAGATCAATTAAAATTTCATATGATCTCTTTAATTGAGAAATATCGAAAGCCTTTGTGAATACGCAAGTCTTATTGAAAGGAACTTCGTTTGAAATAAGATCAAAGCTTATAGCAGTGGATATTCCTTCGATTTATGAAGTTTTAATCTACATCAAATATCATTGGGATAATGTCTCTGTATGCGTGTAATAGTAAAACACAAAATCTGAAGAAAATATAGAGGTAATTAACATAAATCTTAGTATGTAAACCAGAACAATGTGTATTGTGCGCATTTTCAAATTCATTTAGATTATTTAATTTGTTCGTACGATTTTGATGGTGAGTTTTATAAGGGATTGATATCATAAGTTTGATATCACGTTTTTAACCTGCCTAACTTTACTCTAATATATCATACACGATAGACATTAATCCCTGAAATTGAAATAACTTTTCGCATATAAACGTAAGAGCATGCAGAACTATTTAAAATACAATCATACATACGATTTCGAGTATAACGAATGCAATAGAAATTATTGTGAATTCAAGTCGTATAATGATTTCACTATGTACATTTTGTACATACATTTTACACAAATAATATAAAATGATGTATACTTGCACTACTTTGATGCAGAATAATATATGCAAAAAGAATGACAGTTTGTCGTTCTATCAATATATTTGATATTTGTATACCAATACTTAAAAATATGAAACAGTCATTTATTTAATATAAAAAATGTATCCAATTTGCTTAATAACGAATGTAAACAGCTACAAAATAATTTATATAGAAAACACGAACTTGCAAAAAATTTGGCATTAATAAAAAGAAACTATTTCAACGCAAAGCATTAATAATGTTGAAGAATCTTATTTATATGATGAAAATTATCACAATTTCCAAAACTCCTTTACTATTAACTTCTGCATCTAAGTTGCATTGTAGGATTAATTCACTTGCAAGGTGCATATGCAGTCATGATTGGAATTGACAAATCTTTAACATTTTTATCATTACTATCATTATAGGTACGTAATTGATAATTTTCCTTAAATCTGCACGTCGGCAAGTAAATTAATAAAAGTTGAGAGTAAGGATGGTTAAAAGTTTCACTTACCCAGGCGGGCTGTAGTCTAAACTGAGATTGTTTCCAAAAAGGTTGACTTGCGAAATTCCTGATTGATATCTGGAATTGACGAGGGAAGATCGACCAGAGATTGGTAGAGTATTCTTCATTGTGGGTACGAGTAGCGGAACATCTCGAAGCGGTTTGTGCATGCCTAGTGTCTTTGCCAAACGTTTTTTTACAGTTTGGATTGAAACCGAAGAGACAGTGCGTGCACGGCGTCTGTTTTTTCTCATCTGCAAACCAATACATACAGGCATTAGATATGCAGTGAAGTGTAAAAATAAATATAACGTAAGATATCAAAGAAGAATATTCATTCAAAGAAAAATTGTAAAATTAATGAAACTATCAATTCTAATACAAAAATTATTAACTAAAATTTTTATTTTATCGAACTAATGTAATGTGATTTTAACAACTGGTATATACGAAGAATTTAAAAAGGACAAATTTGAGCATCATTCAGTGAGATATGCAGCCTAAAATAAATACGGTATAATGAAAAGTATGAAGTATTTCATGAATGAAGAAGAAACAAGCACCAATTGTTAGCAGAAGGATGTAAGAACAATATAACTATTAATACGATATGAAATGAATGATGAATTGCAATGAGAAAGGAAAAGCCAAATGCATCTACTGACAAATGATTTTTATTCACACAAAGAAGGAACGGGGTAAATACATGTCGAGAAAACAATTTAAACGTTATTTTTGATAATCAATAAAAAAAAAGTAAAACCACGCATGTTTTCTCATGGATACATTGAATTGGCACTAATATTATAAAGATATGTAAGACTGCGTTAAAAATTGATATTGATGTTTGTTTGGCATGTGGCAGTTTAAAAAGGACTTTATAGTAGGGTGTGCAAGTTAGTTCTCTATCGGTGATGAACTCAGTGGTAATGTACCTTGCGCGGCTTTTTCGAGCCCTTCTTCTTTCGTTTGCGTCTCGACGACGAGGCTGATGGCACCGCCACTTTCACGTACGTGACGATTTCTTCCTCCTCGCCGTCGTCATTGATCTCGGTAAAGCGCACTTCGCGAACTAGTGTTTTACCTCTACTTTTAACTTTTTGCTTTTTTGTTTTCTTTTGTTTTACACCACGCTTCGTTCTAGTACCGGCGCGCAACGAAGTAGATGAGGATACAGATGGACCAACCCTCGTTTCCGTAGAACTTCTATTACTGTCGCGCGAATGACTAGGACTGTTACGGCCGATCGAGTCGATCCCCGACGAGGTCGACGGCTGATCGGGATCGAATACCAGCGCGCGTTCACGTACTTCACGATTTTGAACTTCACGTGCACGAGTGCGATCGGCACGGATATTTGCGCGGACACGTTCCGTTTGTCGTGTACGCGGTATAACACGGGGAATTGATGAAGGACCATTCTCGTGAGGATGACCGGTACGAGTACGTCCATAAGATACACCGAGTCGACGTGCTTCCTCCATGAGATCCGGTATTTCGTCGAGGTCTATTTCAACCTGAAACAGAATACACATCTACTCGTATCGATGATGCATGATTTAGATCTTTGATGCTGCTTCACTTCCAGATGATGTAGGCGAATTTTGAGATTCGCTTACTTTATATTTGATATAGGATATACAATCGGTTTTATTTTTTATTTCTTACCATCTCAGCATCATTTTGACTATTTTGAGAACACTCAGGGCAGTACCACTCGTCCATTGGAACTTGCTCCATTTGCGGTGTTAGACATTCTAGATGATAACCCAAATCGCATCCGTCGCATAGCAGCATGCGATCTTCCCGATCACACTGCTGGCAAATTTCGCAATAAGTGGGGTCTTCTTGAATTTGATCTTCTATTCGTGGTTTGATTTCGATCGGTATGTGTTTCAATACCTAGAGCAGAGTTCATGTGGGCTATTATGTAAAACATATGTTCTGCAGGAAATTATTTCTTTTGTTGGGTAAATATTATTATATAAGGCATAACACGTGTTCTGGGTATAAGAAAAAGTAATGATTGATTACATGAAGAAGAATGGATTATGCGTGGAGTATTATTGTTAAACATGATATCAATTTAGGTCATTAAATACGTACTTTGCCATCAACTTTACTTTTTACGTGAATCACCGTAAAAGCTTGACGATCTACAGGACACGTGTTGATATTTTTGCTCCATTCTATGAGGCAATCCAGGCAGAAACAATGGTCACAGGAAGAGGGTGTTCCAAGTTGTTGTTTTTTGAAAGACAATAAACAAATCGGACACTTTTCCGATTGTCCATCACTGCTATCAGATTCGAAACCGGCGCCTGATGTTGTGGCCAATTCGGGGCTGTCGATTGGCTTGATCCTTTTCTTTTTTAGTTTAGATTTCAAAGGGCTCGCTTCCTTTTCTTCTTCTAATTCATCCATACTATCCCAATCAGATTGCCATTCTGAACTAGTCTCACTCTCAGCTATACCGTAAAACGTATTGTATCGTGTCATTGTATTTATGACTTTAAATAAATAAATAAGAGGATGATGAATATGCGATTAGACAACTCACCTGCTTCTGAAGCATTGCTATCATAACTTCTATCATCTTCACTAACAACCTTCTGCAACAAAAATGCAATATTACGCGTTAGTAATTCTTATATTTTTATAGGAATTGAAGTATTCTTTTAATAAGGCTGTTTCTAATCTTAAGCATACACTTTTAAACATACATAATTTTTTCTCCTGATTACAGGCCTTGGAACATCACTATCTTCCTCACTGCTTTCAGCTTCACTTACAACCCTCTAGAAAGTAATTAATGGCAAATATATTAATAATAGGTTCTGCATAGAATATCACTAATACAATTTTATTTACAAGATTCTCTTAAATATTGTGTAAGTTTGGGTAAACGATTTCACTTATACATACATATACTTTACGTCTGCGATGGGTCTGGAACACAATGGATTCGTTGCTACTTTCACTCTCTGGTATTATTATTCTTCTGCGCTTGGATGGCTTTGGCACCCGATCGCTATCACTTGACATTTTGCTAAGTTGCAATGGGCCTGAACTCTCTACATCTATGTTGATTTCAGCTACACAAGTATAATATCTGTTGTAATATTAACAATTCATATATATTTTAAATATATCATAGCAATATTATTTAAAGCTCTGCTAAGTTTTCAAGATCTCTTAAAGCAAGTATGGCTAAATATACTAAGATCAAGTATAACAACTGATGCTTGCTTTTACATTACAATAAAGAATTTAAACATTACTAGACACAAATTAAACATAGTCTAAATAAACTTAAAATATGAATCAAGGCAACCTAATCCAAAGTAATAATTTGTATTAATCAAGCTGCTCATTGTAAGCATGAGTGATCAAAAAAATCTTACAACAAATGATTTATGAAAACATGAAAATGCAATATCCATATAATACAATATAAAATTTTTATAATACCGGTAAAATCAAGAAATTCGAAGATGGTTATCTGTTACATGGTATTTAAATTTAGAAATTCACTATCACGATCAACCATCGAATGCAAATGTAAATAAAGAAGTAAACCTTTTCATTAATGAAACTTGAAATCACAAAATGCTCAAAAATTACAATATTTCATATTACAGTACAATATCACATTCGACACATTGGGTTAAGTTTCAATAGACGCGAGGAAACCCTACATTTTCATCGTCTAGATTTTATTTACGAGTGAAGCGTGTGCATTTGTATAAAAATATTTGGATCTACCTATGGTTCAGACAAAATCAACATAGTTTGCTTATTTTTTCCCAATTTCGACTTTCAGTTTGCGTGATAGTCACAAACACGAAACACACCGTCACATAAGTACCACCATGTATAACGAGAATGTACACTTCTCATAGGTATCATAGCACGCCACCTTTATTTTATGAACAAGTAAATTGTTTATACGTATACCTAGTTGGCTTTAGGTTTTTTCTATGGCGTCAAACTTTCGAAATATTGACAGCCAAAAGTACGCTTCCTAACGCAAAATTGCGGACATCTTGGATCGCAACGCCGTTGCGATGTTGCGCTAGTTCTTGTTTCAAGATGGCCACCATGGCCACTGAGCATAACCGAAGCCATATTGAATTATATTATGCACAACTAAGCAACATTTATTGTAACTGTAATGAATTAATTGTTCTAATCATTACCCATCTTCCTTTAGATTACATATCTTTATATATCTACGTTCCACATAATACATTTAAGGCCTATACAAAGAACTACTCGTAAAACAGTCTTTCAAATGGCTACCGGCGCCATTCATTACATTTCTTATAGAAACATGGAATTTCATTTACCACATTTTGTATGTGCATAGATTTAAAGTAATTTTAACTTAACAATTATAATACTTCTGTACCTTATGAAAATGCAAATATATTGTCTTAATAATAAGAGTTATTCATAGAATAATCATTCCTGATCCGAATTCTGCAATTAAATATAAAAAATAGGACTCGGGGTTGGTGTCTCGAACAGTTTATTTATTCTCGTAATCATAATTTTTAGCGCTACTACTTAACTCATGTTGGTATTTGTCTGCATAAGGTACAGTTGCCCCGCTCAACCCCGCTTGTTCGGTCGTTATACGACCGATTCTGACGTCACAAAGCGACGCGTTGCGGAGTCGTTTCGTTAGTTCTTCTTCAATCCGCCCGCGCGCAAGTGTCTTTTGGTCGTGAAAAATCTGCCATCATGGGTCGTATGCACGCTCCTGGGTAACAAAATCCTAATTTTCATATTTATCTTAATTAATATAAAGCGGATTTATGTGGATTTAATAAATATTATTAAGGTCAATGATATGCATATAAATAACCATAGTATATAGCACGAAACGCGTCAAAATTGCAATACTAAAATCCAACTTCCGGGCCATGTGTTGGTCTCTCATTTTTAGCCACTATCTTACTTTTAATGCTTCGTTTAGACCAAGAAATATCGAATACTGTGATTATTTCATGTTTATTATAATGCCAGATTTTAACTTAAAGATAATATATTAACTTTGTAATATCTAATAGAAATCTTTAGTTGACAGTTTCAACATGCTTGTAGAAGCCATACCTGTTCTAACCCTATTAGTAAACGGGCGGATTAGACACTATATATAGTAAAATCAACATTTCTGTATACATCAGTATAACAAAGTTTTCACGACAGATGATTTGTAGTTTCAATAGCTCATAAATACTAATAAAATACTTTAATCTATATAGAATATTTACATTATGTTATAAAATACTTTTTTATTTTTAGAAAGGGTATTTCCCAGTCAGCTTTGCCATACAGACGTAGTGTGCCGAGCTGGTTGAAACTTACTCCTGAGGATTGCAAAGAACTTATTTACAAACTAGCCAAGAAGGGTCATACTCCATCCCAAATAGGTATATATTGTTATATCAAAATATTAAAATAAGAGTTGCAAGCTACCAGCTGAGGTTCGATTTAATTTAATCTTATCCCTTCCTAGAAGCTTGCTAGAGTAAATTGCAACATTGGCCTTTGAGATGATTTCAAGTAATAGTCTTGATCTCATTATAGGTAGCCATTGACAAATCAATATTCACAAAATTTTAACATCTTCATAATATATGCAATTATATTTTTCAAAATCTTATGCTCTTACGATTCTATTCTCAGGTGTCATCCTTCGTGATTCTCATGGAGTAGCACAAGTTCGTTTTCGTACCGGAAACAAAATTCTGCGAATTGTGAAGAGTATGGGACTTGCTCCAGATCTACCAGAGGACTTATACTACCTGATCAAAAAGGCTGTTGCGATCAGGAAACACTTGGAGCGGAATCGTAAGGACAAGGATAGTAAATTCCGCTTGATTCTAGTTGAATCTAGAATTCACAGACTCGCCCGTTATTATAAAACAAAGGGTTCCCTTCCACCCAACTGGAAGTACGAAAGTTCAACCGCCAGTGCTCTTGTAGCCTGAATTATACTACTTTACTATCATTACATGTCAATAAATTTCTTTTATTGATTTTACGTTGTATATTTATTCCCAATATTTACTATGGAGTTAATTTTTGCAACAGTAGTGGAGGTATAGTTGTAACCCGCTAATAAAAATAGGGTTTTGGTATATAAAATTTTTATTTATAATTCTAAAGAATATAGTACATGTTCAATGTTGTCAACTTCATTAGTTCAACAGCGTATTTAAGATTATACACTGCGTTAAAGTGTATAACAGATGTTCAAGTAACATTACAATATCATTGATTTTTTTTCAATTCAATTTCCATCTTCGAAATGCTGTTGCGCTTTCTGCCATTTTGCAACCATACTGGACATCTCTTTCTGCTTTTTACTGACGCCAATTTTAGCCTGAAATAGTATCATAGGAAGTTATAATTCTGTGCATACAAAAAGTACTAGAAAATACGCAAAATAAAACAAGCGGAAACTAGCGGCCAATCTTTAAATGATATTACAAAACAGTTAATCGTATACATTTTCTTTAAAATTAACAAAATTATTAAATAATTGTAACAATATATTTGTGAATAACAAAATTAGGTTGATTATAATATATAATATTCATTTAGTAAGTAAAGTTGTAGCTATCGGCCGCCAGTTTCAGTTTATTGTAAGACAAATGTGCCACGTACCTTTTTCTTTTTCTTTTCTCTAATTATAGAATCAACAGGTATTACTATTTGTGGCGTTTCGATTGACACCTGTGGTTGTGAAGGCGACGGGACAGATTCTACCGGTGCCACCACCTCTGGTATTTCTTGTTCCTGTTCTATATTCGTTTTCTCAATAGATGCAATATCACTGTAAAATGAATCTAATGCAGAACCCAAAGATTCCCTCTGTGTTTTAATAGGAGGTTTCGCAATTATCTGACTATTCGTATACACTTGCGTATAATCCGCCACCACAAATTGAACGGCTTCCTGGCCACTGAGTCTGTTTGCTGCTGCTATAATAGCCTGCTATTTTAATTAAATCATATCATAGAAACATTTCTTTATTAAAATAGTGTACGTCATACATCCAACTGAATAGACTTACATTATGTAAATGTTGATGGTACGCTGGGTAATGCATAAGTTGCCCTTGCATAATAGCAGCATGATGGTCTATAATCGGTACAGCTGTGTCTCCAATAGTAGCTGCATAAATTGGGTTCGTTTGTTGTGTAGCAGCCGTATACAATACGGTTGGCTCGAGCGCAGAATTGGCCATTGGATATGTGATGTCTGGTGCATCTACACCTGGCGGCAATGGTTCGCTATTTGGAGGATTTTGCACTAAAGGTGAGTATGGAGGCAATGGTGGCTGTGATGGTTTAGGCGGTGATGGTGGTAAGGGTGGATTGACAGACTGTCTTATGTCAGATGTAGGTGTTATCTCTGCAGAAAAAACATCATGGGTACATTGTAGTTTATCCAGGAAGTCGGATAATATATCGTAATTGCATCCAGTGTGATGATCGCACGAAATAGCTAAAGATATTAGGTTTAACCAAATTTCCTTTTTAGAGGATCAAATGAATTTACCTTTATCTACTCTGTTCTTCTTTATATCCGGAGTCTTTTCGCTGATACTGCCTCGTCGCTTTTTGCCTTTCTTTAAATCCTCGGCGAATATTCTTGGCGGTGGTGGTGGACTAGGACTAGAGATTTGTGGTGGTGGAGGAACTTCCAAATCTTTTGAACTTTTTGGAAGGACTTCCCCGTTCTTATCATGTTCCATTGACACTGATTTCTCATCTCTTTCAGATGCTAACACCACTAAATCATTCTTGGCCCCTTGAGCATCAGTTTGGACTTGTTCTAAAGATCGAACAATAAGAATTGTACATCATTTTGCATTGTATATGTTGTATCATCTATTTATGTAGATAATTGATGAACATACCTATGATAGCTGGTTCCTCCTGGTCTTGTGGAGGAGGCGTCGTACACAGATCCATCTCTTCGGTTCCACCAATTACATCAGCTTCCGGATAAGTCCACTGAGTCTCTCCGCTTGTAGAGTTCCGATAATAGTAGCGTTTATGCGATCTAGAAACATCCCCCCCAAAAAAACGAAAGTAATGAGAATATTGGGTAGAGTGTAATGTTTTCAACATCTGTCGGCACCATTCTTTCTGACCGACTGGTCTCTTTCTTTTAGAATTAGTGAACGTAATCCATTAATACCCCTACCTGCGTTGCAGTTCATCAGGATACCTGCGAAGTTCCTTTTATTAAAAAATCTATTTCATAAATCAAAATACTCATTATATAATGGATAGGTCCTTGACCATTCGCTATAAAATACAATATGATGTCCTTGGATGTGTTTCACGAACAAAACATTCCGCCGATCCTTAAGAATTCTTATTAGATAAATAAAATATTAATCCTGTTAATAGGACATTATGTACTTAATTGATGGGTTTCAAAATTGACCATTAGATGTTATGTAGAAAATAAAAAAAGACTACTGTACTCTATCGGATGTTAATTGATATTTGAAAAGTTAAAAATCTTTGTGCAATTATATAAAGTGTCATTATCAGTTAAATGATTTTATCCATAACGAATGCAATCACTGTCTGATAGGAGATAGCATTTTTATATTTTGTTTGTCAGTAAAAAAAAGGAATATTGTAATTTGAAAATATTATTGTTATCAGTTTGGCTAATGTTGTAAAACATGTTCTAAGGCTTTAATATGGACTCAGATAAATATTAAGATAGTGTGTTTCTTTATATTTTTTTTTAATTTCAAAGGAAGCAAAATGTCCTGTTACTCTTGGACGGTCCTGCACCTTCCACTGAAATCATGTTCACTTCTCGAAGACCTATAACAGCAAGATAAAGCATAAATCACGAAAATCACAAAATCTATAATTTAAAGCAACAATACCAACCTTCTCTTGTCGTTGCATAGAAACTATGATATCAAGTGCATACGATATCTTTTCAGCGTATTATACATTACAATCTCATAACAGTTTAATGATACCAGCATTAGTAGCTAGTCAGACAAGAGAACATTACAAGAATCAAGTTATGAGTGAGATATAGTGCTACGACATGAAATATATTTGTGAACAGATCAAAATAATATTAAAATGTTACTTGTTTGCCTGCTGATTTGTATCAAAAAAGAATTCGATAGATACGTGTAGCAGTTGTCATTAAGAAAAATAGTATCACTATGCAATGCTCGTGCCTCTGAATTGAACAAGTTTTGAACAATACGGTTCATTCAATTTACCACTAAATAATTATAAACTGCCAGCAATTTGAATACGCTGTGATGAACTCTTCAGTCGTCACTCGATATTTGCGTAAATACATATTGCAGTTAACACGAGAGACGAGGAAGCATTACAAGTATAGGATGATGTAAATAACAAATGAGTATATTTAGAGCATAATCGAGTTTGAATGTTTGTTTGTGCGGGATACTGTACCTATCCCACTGGCAGTCCCATCCTGAGGGTGCCGCTGCTTGCTCTAAGCGACCCAATTCACGACTCGTACCGGTCAGCCAGTTATGTAGGTAGTTTTCTTTCAGGTCTCCAGCTTCCCAAGCGCCGAGCAATGTCTTTAAGGCAAATATAAAATTATGTTTTAACATACTTTTTCATTAAAGTATTGCTAATATAAGTATTATCCACCTGCAGTTGTATGGCCATAACCTGCACTGCAGACGCAGTATGACTTCCTTCTGATAAGAACTTCAATTTTTCCATAATGGTTTCGGTCAAGCACTTGAGATTTTGTTTGTTAAGTTCGATTATTTCCTTATTTTTTTCACTGTCTTCCTCTTTCACATTTATAGTTTCTCCTTTGACAAAGCTGATTCCACTTTTAGTTGTAGAAGTGTTCGATTTTTCTTGCTGCTCATTACTTGTTTCAATCAACTCATGATGATCCACGCTACGTAATTCTTTTTGGAACCCTAAACCATGACGGTCATTGTCAGTAGATATTAGTGTCGGAAAGGGTGTGCTTATTGCTTCTGGTTTACTCGTTGCTGCGTTTTGTGCATCCAATGATTTGGTTTTGTTGGGTGTAACTGAAGAATAATAATAAAAGTGATAAAGTAACTATCGAGAGATAATTTTGAGTTAAATGCAGTACTTTAATTTTAAAGAGGAACATACCATCAAACGCTATACGCTTTTTCCTTTGAAACGCCTTCGCTGGTGTTTCTAAATTTTCTAAAAACTTGTTTGGTTTTGGAAGCTCTGATTCCGTTTTTGCAAGATGAGCTTCTTCAGATTCTAAACTTTCTACTTTGCCAGTATCCAATTCCACATTCATTTCCTGCGATTCTCCGTTTTCTTTTAATAACTTTTCAGTGCTTTCGTTTTTATATTCATAAATGCAAGCGTTTCCCGTTTCACTGTGTTTAGTTTCTATCTTCTTTGTTACACCATCATTACTACAGGAATTTTCACTCGATGTAGTTAGGATACCTTTATCTTGCTGATATTCCACACTAGGGAACAGGGGAGTAATTGTTGATTTTTTAGGAGAAATTTCTTCCTCAACATCCGAGTCGTCGCTGTAGCCAGCTACTAAAGAAAACTTAATTTCTTTTTCAGGTGTAACAGGTACCTTTATTTCTGACTTTACCAACGAGCTTGTATTGTTTGTTTTTTCTTCCAATTCCATGGTTATGTCAATATCAGCATGAAAATGTACACTATTAACATATTTATCTTTGTTCGGAGCTTCTGTATATTGCAAAACATCACTTTGCGACACTTTTGCTTGACTTTTCAAATATTGGGATATATCTATTTCCCTAATTTCGGACTTTAAAGATGCTTTCATAGAATCCTCATTCGATACTAAATTCTGAACATTATGTGTTTCAGAATGCTTCACTTCGCTCTCATCATTGCTTTCAGATCGGCTTTGTCTGGCATTATCTCTTCTTACTTTTAAGCTGGCATTTTCAGGACCATGCACCATTGGCACAATACCTGGTGGAAGAGCAGGTCCAATTTTCAAGTTTTTGGACACATCTTCAACTTTCTTATTAGAAATTAGATGTGTATTCGCGCTTGCTGGTTTTGGACGCATTTTCACAGAAACCGTTTCTTTCGATCTCTCACGAGTTTTAGATTCAATGTCGCTTTCATCTGATTCACTTTCATCATTTCCGAAAGAGGTTATCATCTCAATTTTCCTGTTATAGAGATAAAATATGAATTCGTTATTATACTGATATTCTATTAAGTTTTTGGATTCTAATTATACAAATCGTACCCATCATCCAAATCATTGTCCTTCAAACCACTTTTTGTTGGTGATTCTTGTTCAATATGTAATTTTTGTGGCTGATCGCGTTGAGAACCAACTTGTCTGTTTCTGTTTCTGGCGACAACTTCCTTAGGTATCATTCCTTCAGGAATGTTGGTTTGCGGTTGTGGATCTATATGATGAATAAATTGTATAATCAAATATATAATATATGAAATGTAATACGATGTTTTAAAAACTTGTGTCTAATAAGAAGTAAAAAAACTAATACATGTATTCGATGAAAAATTGGCCCATTGCATCGCATGCAAGACACGCGTAGTCGATTCTTGAGTATTTTCTCTTAATAATCTCATCTCTACTGGCATTTCCCATGTAACTTCATTAGTTTCAGTGTGCCAGTAATAGGGGTAACCCGTTGACTCATCAAAGCATTCTTGCCATACTGAAATAATATTAAAGAATATGCTCATACAAAGAAAATATATAGCTTTTCTTATTAAGTAAATATAAAGAAAATATAAGAATAAAAAATAAGTGATATCTCATCCACTGACATGTTTGTTGTCGATTTGTATTTGGTACAAGTTTCTGTGGGGTTGATTTAATCCCATCAAATTTATCCATCATATTGGGTTTTGGCTGCTCCGGAGCAATAAGTTGGATCTCCTAAAAGATGAATTATGTCTTTCAAGATAATTTTTTTAATAGATTGAGTTTATTCCATTTTAATTCATGTGTACTACCTTGAAAAAATCATTAACTTGGTCATCTAATTTATTAGAATCTTGCTTTGTGTCTTCTGTTTCACTATCAGAATTATATTGTCCCAATAAATTTACTAATGGATTACTAGGTAAACCATTTTGTTCAGGGTGATCAACAGCAATTTGTTGATATTTGTCTGAAAGAAAAAGTCAGGATGAGTCATTCATCGACATATGCATTGGGAAATATTGTCTTGCAAGTTTCATTGTAAATCATATGTAAAGACATTGGATCAATGATATTTACTTTGCCAGCGTCTTCTAGGAGAGTCAGACTGCTCCCCGTTAATATCTAAAACAGGTCTTCTTTGTCTTCTCTTCATGATATAAATAAGGAGTTGGAGAAGTTAGATGAAGTAATAATCCATAGTCATATTTACAGGTGCCACTTCAGATTAAACTTTTTTTCACTAACAATAGTTGGAATAAAATTATAACTAAGCTGTTTAAATAATGAAGATTCTGTATCGTTAAAATATGTTATTCAGTAAAGAAACGCTTAACCTCAAAATTGTTATTTACTATCATCACAAGTCAAAAGATATTTAACTTAGTTTATAAGCTCATGAAAATTTATTGCGCTATCAACCACAAACATTAGTTCTTGCCAATTTCACTGTAAATATTTATATGTATAATGAAGATGCGTAATATCTTTCAAGTGCCATGACCAATTACTGACTATGTACATAACCTTAAAATTATTATAATTATTATTATTATAACTCCTTCGATCTTGCGTCTTCGTGGCAAACAGTGGCAAAGATGGCCGGGTGTCATTAGCAAAGGCTTGCAGTTTTCAAATGAATGTTGTACAATATCATTGATATTTATCTATAGTGTCAGTTTTTAATTCTTTGTACAAATTCACCAATCCCCAAACATTTGGGTACCTAATACATACTTTGCAAATGTACGAAAATGGCTAAATCAAAGAGCATTCCGGATAACCTAATAAAGTGGGATGTGCCAGAAGATCCTTTGGCACCTTTGACAGACTGTCAAAAAGAATGGTTAGTGAGTCTGCAAGAGGAAGTTTCTTCTCTCGACGTCGTTACTCATGAATGTCTACCAGAAACATTATCACAAGAATCCGATGGAAATCAGACAGATGTGAAGAGAATTGAGACGTATCAAGAACTATTGCAGTGCTACACAGGTCTTGAAGAACGGTACATGTCTGCTGAAGATACAAAGTATGTGGCTTATCTAGAACAACTAAAGAGCCGTCGTCAAGAATGTCATGACCTATGTCTAAAAATTGAAAATGCCTTGGTGGATTTTTCTACATTATCCAAGCAGTATACCACAGTTTCCAGCAAGACAACATCTCTTCATGATGCGAGTGAACAACTGATCTCAGATCAGGAGAAACTGAATTCATTCATTGACAGTATATCTGATCATGTTAAATACTTCAAAGAAGTTGATCACATTATGGAGAAGTTGGAAGCACCAACAATATCTGTAAATAGTGAAATTTTCTTCAACTTGTTAAATCAACTGGATACGAATATGGATTTTGTGCAAAATAATCCAACATTTAAAGAAAGCAATATATACTTAGTTAAGTATAGGCATTGTCAGTCAAAAGCTATAACTCTAATGCAGCATTACATCTTTAATTTACTTTCTAATGCCACCAAGAGTATTTTAAATCCAAAAGAAACTGGAAATATGAAAATGGAAAACACAGATGCAGCATTGGCTCTGTTCTATGGTAGATTTCAAACAATTCTACCAAAAGTTAAACTAATTATTGAGCAGATAGAAACAAAGTCTTATAAAAGACAAGAATATGATAGTTTATTATTAGAATGTCATCAATATTATTTAACCCAACGGGGATTAGTACTAGGTCCTAGTGTACAAAAAGCATTGCAAAAAGTAAAAGAAAAATATAATGGTGATCACTGCAGTCTTGTTAGGCATTCATGTGCATTACTGTTACATGCGTCAATCGATGAGCACCGCTTGTTTTATCAATTTTTCTCTAAACCTTCTAGTGGATTAACAGCATACCTTGAAGGACTATGTACTTCACTTTATGATACACTAAGACCTTTCATAATACACATAAATCATTTGGAAACGTTAGCCGAAATTTGTTGTATACTGAGAATTGAAATGTTGGACGAACACGTTCAAAATAACTCGGAACCTTTGCAAGGCTTTGGAAACATTTGCTTACAACTATTGCACGATGTACAGGAAAGACTTGTCTTTCGAGCGCATTTATATTTGCAGTCAGATATTTTAAATTATAATCCCTCGGCGGGAGACTTAGCGTATCCAGAAAAATTAAAGATGATGGAAGATATAGCCGAGTCTTTAAGAGAGGAAAGTCATCAAATCAGATTGAAACGAATTTCACTATCATCCAGCGATAATAGTACTTTTGAACCGATATCGAGAAGTCATATAACAATGGATCCAATTAATCAAAAACCTCATATTGGTAATTCTCCAGCAGATTTGCATGGAATGTGGTATCCTACCGTTCGTCGTACATTAGTCTGTTTATCAAGGCTCTATCGTTGTGTAGATAGACCGGTTTTCCAATCTTTGAGCCAAGAAGCAATATCAATTTGCGTACAGAGTATCGAAAGTGCTAAACAAAAGATCCAATCAAGATCAACTCAATTAGATGCTGAGCTCTTTCAAGTCAAACATTTGTTAATCCTTCGAGAGCAGATAGCACCATTTCAGGTAGACTTTACTATTAAAGAATACAGTCTAGACTTTTCAAAAGTCAAAACGGCAGCATTTGGCTTATTGGAAAAACGTTCCCGATTATTTACGCTCTCAAATAATGCATTGCTCGAATTCCTTTTAGAAGGTGCTCCTCAAATGAAAGAACAACTGATTGATTCTAGAAAATATGTTGATGCTAAATTAAAATATACATGTCAAAGGCTTATCCAAAATGCCACGTATCTTTTAATAGAACCGCTCGTTAAATTTCTTGAAGAGGCAAAATTGTATGTTAATTCAGATGGTACGAGTTCAATACGACAAAAATCATTTGGCAATACGCAGGAAATAGCAGCTATTGTTAGTGAAGCATTACGTCTCATCAAATTTAAACTTCCGGGTATCCAACAATCTATGCAATTATATTTGGCTAATCGAGAGACAGAATGTATTCTGTTTAGACCAATTAAAAATAATATAGTGGCTGCTTTTACACAATTATCACAGTTGCTGAGTAATAATTATAATGCAGATGAACTTTTGCTTATTGGTTGTCCATTACCAGAACAAGTTTCTGTTATGCTGAGCTCGACTAGCCTTGTGCAGGGAAAATCTGTACAATCTCAAAAATCAAATAGTGATGAAGAGCAAGTTCAAACTGCGCGACAAATAGAAAATGCTTTTGTTTCTTCAAAATGTACAGACAATTCCGATGTCGAACAACGAACAGATATTGCACGATATCTGCAAAGTATATCTGGCCAAACACAAAATCCATCTGAAGAACCTCAACTTGAGGGATCAGAGATATTCTCTCAGAATACAGGTGCCCATTTACATAATACAAGTAATTCTGATAATGTTAAACCATAATGTCGTTTAATATTTTTATCCAGTTATGATACGGCACATGCTGAGTTAACAAAGCAAAAGTTCAACTTCAAACTGTCCATACTATATATTGATAAAATGATACTTTTGATTCTATAAGTTTTCACAAAATATGTCATACTTTTTATTACAGTTGAAACTCGCAACTTTCAGAGTTTCACTCTTACTTGCCTCCCATTATATGTTTTTCTAGATTCTGTATCAGTCGTAACTCTTATTGTATAGTAACTATAATCGGAAATCTAGTATTTTTATATGTTATTGATTATTATGTAAATATTGCAAATTTAATAATTTAAAGTAAGAAGTGTACAAACGAGATAAAATAAATAAAACTTGATATAATATTGTTCTTTTAATAATACCTAGTAATAGTCAATGTAGATTAAGGTAAACTTTATAATGTATGTTTTTTACAAGTGGCAATATTAACTTTCAAGTATAACGTTTCCAGTATACGTTTACGTGTATGAGGATACCCAATATGGTTTAACTTAATGTTCTCTTTGTATAAAGTTGGTAAACTGTTCTACTAATGGTAGGTCCCAATTGTCTTTTCATGTATCCACATTGTATCGATGCCAATAATTTATCTCCGTCATGTTTTGCATTATTCAAAGACTCTGATAATATTCTTGGTGTAGGATATTTTTCTACTATAGCCAATGCTTTTTCAACCGATAGCCCTTTTAATTGCAGCAATTGCCGAATCAACATTTCTTTAACTTTGAAATTCTAAAAAGAAAAAGCAATAAGTACATTTATCGTTCTTATAAATGTAAGTTAATCTGCCTTACCTTTGTCTTTGATGCAGATTTATTGAACAGGTTAAAATCCATAAGTGCTATTGTTCTACTCATGATATTATTTGTAACTACATTCTCCTTTTTGCAGCATATTAAGTGTTTCTTCTAGAACAGAAATAATACATACGTTTCCTATTAGTAACATATCTTCAAAGACTATTGTCATAATTAAAAAATGTTACCTCATAAGTTTGTGTTAAAATTCTCGTCAGTGTAGCTAAATACAACATTGAATCCCGATGACTATTTGTATATTTAACAGTAAACCCTTCTTGCACCATTGAATTTACTGCAGCTTGTAACAATGTAGTTAATGGTATCACAGTATGTTTATTGTTACCATGACTTTCAACCATGTATATCAGATTCTCAATGCCCGATTGCTTAAGCCGAAACTGTAAAGTACAATGAATTTGTTATGGATTATATGCATTCTCAAAAAGAAATAACGATAGCAATACCTTTTGCTCGTGAAATCTTCCATCTCTGATGCTAGAACTCAAATCGTCAATTCTTTTTCTTTCTACTATATATGGTAATATTAATTCATTGTTGGTTTTCCTGCACCTAGCAATCCACGTGAAATCGCCAACTTTTAAATGTCGTATTTCGAATAATACTTTAGTCTGAGAAAGTTCTGCAATAGTAGCGTCATCTTTGGGCTTTGTTTTACCACTAGTAAACAATAAACAATATATAGTGAAACAGATTGCATGGTTGTTACATAATATTGTATTTCTGATTCATTGATACTTACCCAGCAGTTTCTTGTGTATCTACTAATAGTATAATGTCAAATGTATTTGGTTCACAATTCCAAGAATTCTTCATTAAAGTTGAGGTCGGAGATGATGGTGACTGTGTAACGATATTCTCAATTTGTAATACAGCATTTCTTTCTGTTTCTTTACTTTTATTCATTTTATTACTAGTAATTTTGTCAGTTATTTGCAAATGATTTTCTAGGGCATATTCATTGCTAGATTTTGTATTTATATATACAACCGGTTCTAGAGATTCTGATAGCTGTTCAGGTGAACTTTCTATTTCCAAAACATCAATTGCATCATTGCAATAATTATTAGTTGTTCTACTTTCTAAGCATGTCAATGCTTTTGTGTTTATCTCAGGTGATAAATTAGGCAAATCCAATTCTTTCAAATCAGTGTAAACATTTCCTGAGTAATCAGGATTATCTGAATCACTAAGTGACAATGAATGTACTTTAACTTTTGAAGCTTTTGTTACAGTACTTTTTCCTTCGTTATAGGAAGAAGTAGATTGTGATTCATATTTGTCCACTTCTGATAATTTCATGGCAAGAGCTAATCCTTGATCAGTGAGCTTATACCTGGAATAAAACATAAAACTTTGAACAATTATATTTTTATTCAAAGAATGAAAATATCATTATCTTACTTTGCAGGATTACTGAATTTAATAACTAAACCCTTTGTAATTAGAGTAGACATTGATGACCATGCTGTATAATATGAACCAGGATCTGGCCTTTTGAAGGACTTATCACATAAGACTTGAGCATCCTCTTCTATACTTTTTTTACACATGTACCCTATTTGTAAAACAATATAATAATAATTATGTCCATCTATATTGTCAGCTTTCAAGAGATTGTTTCTAGTACCTATGTAATCAGACTTTTTTGTTTTATTGTACAATGTTAACAATATAGCATAGCCACCCGATCTGCATGCTGGCACATACTGCTTATTCAATGAATCAGGTGATACATGCTTTTCTGCAATAACACTAGTATCACTTTTCTTTTTAGTATTTTGTTTTGTAGACTTATCAACATCAATGTCATTTTCAACATATTTAATGACATTGTTAAAAGATTTCGTGCTTTGTTGTCTGTATTCTTTGAGCTTTCTATCCAGCATAGAACATAACTTAGTTCCAAAATGCTGTAATATAATACAATCTTTTCCAGAATCTAAAGGCAATGGATATTTTTTCAAAGTATTCAGCGCTTTGGAAAAGCAATATTGCATGTCAGATCCTTTATTTGCTGCTTCATCTTTCCATTCTTGCAACCAACATTCGAAGAGTGGATTTGGACAGCTTTGCTTCACTTTAACTCGTTTCATTTCAAAGGTATTTCCCACTTTTGGATCGTTGAACTCTGAAAATACAATGCTTATAAGTATTGTAATAAATGTTCATTAGAGGGTGCTATTCATCTTTGTTATAGAAACCTTTAATATTAACTGGACATGTTTATGTCATTATTAATAATTGTTAACAGATTTAAATGTAGTTTATCGTAAACATAAATACAAAACACGATTTCGTCTTTCGACTTAAAAAAACATATGGCCTCTGTCAATTGTACTGCCATCTATTTACCCATTGCTTATAAGCCTTCAGCCAATCTGATAGCGAAACGGAATTTATTTACGAAAATGGCGGATCAAGTGTTACGAGAATTGGAGGTTGCTGCACAAATTATTTTAGTAAGATTAATATTTATTAACTTTTATTTTTCGTATTGACTAGAGAAGTACGTCTAGTTCACGTACATGTATTGAAAATAGTGAATTTTAGCTTTCTACACTGTGTCTTTTCAATCGTTCACTTTAGACAGGGTTATGTTATGTTATTGTACTATAGAATTTTGTTTGTTTTTAATAATACAATACACAAATATTTCTTGATTGTTTAAACATTCATTTCGATTGGGAATAAAGAACAAATGATGTTAAAACTGTCTGTATAACTGTTATTTAAAATATATATAATACTATATTCTCTATAATTTGGAAAAGTCTAGTATTACAATACAAATGATATTCCTTGTAAGGCACAATAATTTCTGTTATATGTAGATCTGTATTAAACAATCCATTGTATATGGTGAAAAGTTAAAGTAAACTTAATTTAATAATATATTAATGGATACATAGTTTGAAAGTAATTGTGAAAACAGCTTATTCCTCAGAACTTTGAGATCAATGATTTTAGTAAAACATTTATTTTGTATTTTCAGGCACCACCAAATCTTGTGACTGCTGAACAAAGGCAATCTGCAGAGGGTGTTTTTTTGAATTTTCGAAAAACAAAATCACCTTATCAACTATGTCGGGAAATATTAGAAACCAGCAGCATGGATTATGTTCTTTTCGAGTCAGCTGGCCTGATAAAAACAGCTTTAGTAAGAGAATGGTCCATGTTGCCACAAGGAGATATTGCATCCTTAAGGCAATATCTTCTGCATTATATCATAAGCAAACCTACATTGGCACCTTTCGTCAGAGAAAGAATATTGCAAGTCATTGCAATTATGGTTAAAAGAGGAAGTGTTGAAGATCTGGGTGAAGAAAGAAGACAAATATTGAATGAAGTCGAAAGATTAATAATGAGTGGTGATTTACCAAGGGTAACTATAATACATGTTATAAAGATGCACGAAAACAAGTTTACATTGCATGCATATTATTAGATAGCACCGTTATACTATAACTAATGCATTTGTTATAGCAACTTTTAGGATGCAGCATAATATCAGCATTAATGCAAGAGTACGCAACAACCGTGAAATCTTCAGACGTCGGTCTAACATGGGAGGTACATTTTAAGGCCAAAAAACAGTTTGAGCTTTCAGATTTGAAAAGAATATTTAAATTCTGCGTTGGTGCTCTTGGAGAACTGACTAAAGGAGATATTCAAGAAGCGACGTTGCCTCTCATCAAACACTTGCTGTCTATTACTGAAGGTGTTCTTGTTTGGGGCTTCATATATGCAAACTATATCCTTTCTTATACTAAAAACGTGTCTATTATTCTATGCAACAATTTGCATATTTTCATTTATCAGAAGTTATTTTCCTTAATTCCGATACACTACCCAAAAGGTTAATCGGCGTCTTTGAAGCAGTTTACGAATCAGACAGTAGTCCTGCTCTTCGCCTCAGTCCAATGTGGCGTGACGTTATTCTTGATCCTGCAGTTCTGGAATTATTTTTCACTCTTTACTGGAAAGTACGTACTAATCCACAATTGGCTCATCACGCGCGAAACTGTCTAGTACAACTCGGCAGTCTGAATGGAGGAGTGGTGATGTCCAGAGGAGTCAAGCTGCAATACTTGACTGCCTATATGCAAAATTTCTTGAAACTCGTATCCAATATTGAGATTATTGATCAAGAAGCTATTGGTATTGCTAACATGATTAGAAAACTCACTACTTTCTTTGGCGTAACATTCACTTCATTACCGGAGGATCTGCTGAGATCATTTATGGAACAAATGACCAGATTGACATGTCTATTTACTGAAGGTGCTGCTCAAGAAGAATGCGTATGTTTTCCTCTTTTTTACTGCAAGCTTCACATATACTGCCATAGCTGACTATACTACATAATATATAAATATAAGGATTTTATTGCCCTTTTTTACAGATGAGTGTTGATGATTGCTTATATATGGAAGCGTTCGAACGAATGTTAGAAACATGGATTTCTATTTTATCTGAGGCACACTTGTTTCCTTCTGAATTTTGTAAACAAAGTTCGGCTCAAATGTTTAATACTTATCTTAAGTGTCATTTATCAGCTCCTGATGGCACTAGAGGTGATTCGACACCAGATGTACAGATACAGGTGACAATGGACGCTCTCGACATTGCTGAAGAAAATGATAGAATCAGATTTAAAGAGCAACTACAAATTATTGGTGAGATTTTTTTGGACATTCTGAGAATGTTTTTAGTTGCACAGTATCTTATTGCTCTACGTCATACTATGTAACTCTCTAAATAAGTCTAAGAATGTCGTATTATTAATATTCACAGGTAATTTCGGCCGACAAATTCCAAGTCATTCTTTACCCTTACTAGCACGTTTACTCGAGGACCGAACAAACCAATTACGCGATCAATTTAACAGATTGGTAGGACAGCCAGTAGAAATACAAATGTTGACTTATAGGGAGATGTCAAAATTGTTCGAGGATCTGCATTGGCTCGTACTCTTAGCTGGTCATGTCCTTTGTATGGAATCTGAAGGGGAAGTGGCTCAGATACCATCAGATTTAATGCGATACAGTATGGATCAGGTGTGTAGGATCTGTATCTTATTTACTTGTATGTATTTTACTATATATTCCTTTTTTGTTAGGTGCAACAGGGGCATGTTGATGTAAATATCACATTGCAACTTCTGGCATCGCCACAAAATAATCTTTCGGATATAAACGGTGCCGAACAATCAGCAGATCACATAATTCGTTTAGTCGCAGCTGTTTTTCGTCTTTGTGAAGTCGAAAAGATAGCGATGTCAGCTGATATGGAAAGTTTATTAAGTCCAGAATTGAGTATTACAATTGTATGGTTTCTACATAGATGGTCGCTAAGTTATCTTTTACCAATCGAAACTTATTACTCGGAGATCAGTACGATTCTGTTACAAGCCTTTGGAGAAGATAGTCCAGGTGCATTATGGACTGTAAATTTCCTTCTGGAGAAAGTAGAATGCAATATTAGTTCTTGTAAAGATGAGCCGGCGCTAGTGAAAGAGACTGTGCAACTATTGGTGGCCCTGATTGAATCACAACCGAAGTAAGCCTGATAAAATTAATTTATATATTCCTCAGCACTCAAATCAGGACAGTTCTTTTCATGAAAATATTTATCATCGTAGAGCTGCTTGCGTGCTAAAGTCTGAACGGCTTGGTCGCTTAGTTGAAATGGCCACAAAGGAAAGATCTGATTTACCACAGGCGGCCAAGAGAGGCCTTATGCGTACAATAGTTCAAGTTGGAGCTGCTGTACAAGATCCGAATAATGAACGGCAATATTGGTCGCAGACATTGCAACCTTTAGAAAATCGATTTAAACAAATAGTTTCTAACGAGACCTTTAGCAGGTCGTATCATGAGCCTAGTATCAGAATTGACATTAGAGATATTCTGGATTCCTTCGTTGGTAAACTATGATTCTCCATCTTTGTCTTTATTATAATTATTGCTTAATATTCTGAATAAAATTAATTGCTTCGCAGGAGTTGCTCTAGGTGTGCAAGGTCCGACTGTGGAGTCCGTGTTTCAGCGCACTATTCCTTTATTAAATGAACTACCAAATTTACTTTCGTTATATCATAACTATCAGGATTTGGTACAATTGATTTTGGAATTACTTTGTGAGAGTACCAGAGGAATGCTGTGCTTCTTATCAGAGGTAATAGATTATTAACATAATATTTAATCAAATCTTTCATAATGGAATTACGTTGATAACTCCTTTATTGTATAAATATTACTTTAGGCTGAAAGCATTCGTATTTACGAGGCATGTTTACGTACAGTACAAACTTATGCTCGTTGCAATACGAATCGTTTGACTCTCGACGTAACAGCCGAAGAAGATACTTTCCAAGATATTCTCTTACTTATGCAACTTTTGACTAATCTATTAAGCAAAGATATATTTGATTTGAGTCATTGGGAGACTAGATCTGGACAAGATCAACCAGTCACTCCTGCTGACGTATTTTTATATGGCTTAAATATTGTCATGCCAATGATGACTATAGACTTATTGAAATTCCCATCGCTATGTTTACAGTGAGTATAAAAAAGGAAAGATAATTATCTGATAATAATAATTTTTGTGATGTTTAGTTACTGGTAATCAATATATTATAGATATTTCAAAATGATCACGTTCGTTTGTGAGATTTATCCGGAAAAAGTCTGTAGTTTACCTGAGGAATTACTGAAACAATTATTAGCCTCTGTAGAATTAGGGCTTTTTTCATTTGGACACGACATCACGTTACTTTGTTGCGATATCATACAAGTAATGGCCAAGCATATATATTCTGCTGCTGAGAAAGGCCATCCTAGAAATCAGCTAATGGCACCCTTTATGAACGTGAGTATTCTTCTATATTATATTATTACACGTGTCCGCTGGTTATAAATAATATAAAATAATTATTATTCTGAGAAAAAAAGTACTTAACTAATTTTTATATACTTTTTCAGTTACTAATGAATCTGATTTTATCTCGCCAAATCAATTCTGATCACATATCGAATACGAGTATACCGTTATATTATCTCATATGTTGTTATCAAGAACAATACCAACAACTCGTACAAAATTTATTAGCCTCTCAAACAGATCCGCAAGTAGCGGAAAGGCTAGCAGCAGCATTCACAGAATTAACTGCAAATATAGAATTAAATACCGAACGTGTTCAAAGGCTGCGATTTAGGGATAATTTTGATAAGTTCATTGTCAACGTGCATGGATTCTTAATGGTCAAGTAAATTAAGGTACTTAAGGGATTTTAGTGAATTATAATATATTTTATACTACTTTGACAACGTACGTATTTATGAATTAACCACGTAGTTTTTGTTTCTCGGGTCAGTAGTAAGAGACATTATTCAATCAGTAAATTTGAGAGAGGACGCTCGTTTGTCGTATAAAAAGTAAATTTGCAGTCTGACATATTAAAAAGTAAAGAGGACATCCAAGTGCAAAGGAAGATATTTTAATTAATTTTTAAAAATTATAATTCTTTTGCCTGCAACTCTATTTAGTCATACAGTGAGCAGTATTTCATTTACTTAAATTTCACACGTAAGTGTTGTTACACACAAAATGCACTTACAACATATTTCTTAAAGTTCCAGATGTATTTATCTTTAATCCGGTTCAAGTCGTCGGGTATGCTTCAAATTAATAACTAGCGCATCTTTCTGTAAGCTTTTTGTACGATTAGTCGGTGCACAATATTATTTTAAAAAAGTTCTGTAGAGTTGTACAACGCTTGCGGTATAACAATTTCTATTAAAAAAACTATGGCCAATCATACAAATCAAGACTAGGGGGTTTAATTTGTATCCGCATACAAATTTGCTATCCCGTTAATTTGAAATGATCATTTACATTACATTACAGAGTCTGTCAAAATTTGCACGTGTCGCAACGATAACATTAGATTAATTTTATTTAACAATAGCTGCTCGTAGTGCGCGTAGATACAGCTAGTCCAGATCTGTGATCCATGAATGGCAGCAGTTAAAGTAGTGTGGATTGGATTAAAGTAGATTGGTATTGCCAATTATAGATAAGAAAAGAAATGAAGATATTGTGAGATAACATTATGCTGTTTTGAAAATTTTTTATTTGCACCTGAACATGACACCTAAATGTACCTACATGTCAGGGCCTTGGAAATTATTTTTTCTTTCAGGCATGATATTTCATAAGTATTCACGTATTCCAAATAACAATCGCACTCGAATGATTTTGATAACATCACTTAAGTTGGAATATGAGTTTGCGTTGCATTTCTTTTATATGCAACGTAGTGATAGAAATAATTTTATTGAATGGAGGGAATGTCTTTCATACAGAATATGTGACTTGGAGCTTCCCCTTCTGGCATTGAATGATAAAAACAATTTTGCTAGCTAGTGATTTGTATTTGATTTGAATGGTATTGAACACCAAATATTCCAAAAAGCTTATATCTATTTTCATAAAGATATTGTATAGCATAAGAAATTATTAACCTTTGAATGTCTATTCCGTGTAATCGTGTTAGATTCTGTGTCTTTGCGTCTTTATTTAATTGTGTGTATTTTGCAATTTTGATTAGAGGGAGGAAATGAGGAAGCTCTATTTTTAGGTTTTACGTGCCTTTTCATTCAGGTCGAGTGGACGTGTGAATGCAAGGGAATGTATATTGCAGTGTCATATGGAATAATATAACATTCAATTATAAAAGGTGGAGCATAATAGGAATGATGCTCTTGTATGAATGAATTTCAATCTGTTACATTACAGTTTTTATGTTTATTTGGATGTTAGTAGAATTCTTATTACATATATCGTATAAATGGCGAGAACTTTGGTGCAATTTTAAGAGAATTCTGTAAAGCTAAAGAATTATCGAGTCTTATTGAGCACCATACAAAGAATGTTAGTTAAATAACGTAATTTATGCCACGAAATTTGACGTTAGATTCGATTATCTTTAAACAGTTATTCCTAAGCGACTAAGAATGAAAATTGAAAATGTATTGTATTTGTCTAAATAAATGTATTTAAAATAAGTAATCTTGAAACCGTATTTTTGCAGATGTCACAAAATATTCAAAAATTGGAAATTATATTACTTCATCTTATTTATATCAATTTATAAAGAAATCTTGCGCTGATGATGAGCAACTGTATGAATCTGTGATTGTTTAATTTTCGTACAACATTTTTATTTTCTTATGATAAGTTGTTCAGAAGCAGCGAATCGAATGAAGGGTCGTAAATGGAAACGGCAAGGGAAGGTTTTCGCTCGGGCGCCGTTTTTGATTCCGTGGATATACATATGTATACGTAGTACAACAGTTATTACTGCTCTGGAGAGTTAATGCATGGTCATTATTTTTGTTTCAATTAAGCTGAAGTCGTCTGAAGATTAGCAAAGATCTTTCCACAGATCTTATTCTCCTAGAAGGAGAATAGCCTACTCTAGCAATGAGTAGAAAGTGGCCCCAACATGTTGAGACAGATATATATCTTTCTCTTCGTTTGTAACGTCAGTTCCTCTCACTGCGCACGCGCGCACTACATCATATCACCGGCTGCCTCGAATTGAATTTCTCCAGTCTTCATGTAACTCGCGTTTCGCATTAGATTGGTTGGGTTTTGTTAGGTCAGTAAATTGCGCATTTGCGCAGTGAAGGGAACTGGACGTTATGAAGTAAGAAAGAAATATATCTCTGTTTCAACATGTTAGGGCCATTTTTACAACACCATTCCTCTTCCAGGAGTATAAGATCTATGGCTTGAAAATGTAGTCATTGAAACGTACCTGTCACAAGTGTGTTCAAAAATGAACCGACGCAACGATGCTCGTAGCACTCTCGGCTGATCTTCGAACGCAGCTGTCGTAAGTGTGTTCGCGAACCAATCATATTGTTTACATATAAAATCATGAAAATCTGCTTGATTATTTGGAATTTCAATAAAAATAAAAAGTTTCTGTTTTAACGAATATTTATTAATGATTGCATAGTAGCAGCGGAGAAATTAGAGAAACACAAGGAGCATTTAAGGAGCAATATCTTAGGCATTATACACATATAAATTTTTATTATCCTGCGCTAACTTCCTGACAGTCGTTTTCTTTCTATTCCTATGTTCCAATAGCTTTGAATCGCTTACACGCCGTTCTGCGACTCATTCCCTCTATCTGTAATATCTTTATGCTATCAATAACATTGAGTTGAATTAGCTGTTGAACCAATGAATGGTAATAAAGTGCGTGCGTACGCAATGGTCGGTCATGACCTAGAAGTGGCTACAAACATGGCTTCTGGAAAGATTGATCAGAAGGAATATTTAAAAAAATATTTGTCTTTTGACGATGAAATGAAAAAGAAGAAGAAGAACAAGAAGAAGAAGCACGCGAAAGTCGGGGTGAAAACGTAAGTAGCACTTTCAAAATTTTTGTCTTTTCTGCCCTATTGCCTACAACGATCCCTTGTTGTTTTAGGTTAAATTGATTATATTTGATACAACTACTTGGGCCTGTAAGAGTGCTGGGATCGTTAACTAACTTTAAGAAATCGTTTAAAGAACGTTATATATATATGTCTTCTTGGATATATTATTAAAACCTGAAAACGTTATTTTGAGGATGAACATTAGAATAAAAGATAGTCGTCCTTACTATATAAGACTGTCTTGAACATTTTAGATGCACTATGTAATGTTAACTGTTCCTAATATTAAAGACAGGATCATTTGTCTCATTATTTTACATACTTTGAGATGTATTTTGCAGAGTAAAGATCATTGACGATGATGTAAACCTGAAACACTTGAGGCCAATTGAAGATGGAGAGTTTGATATCCTCAACCATACTGAAGATGCGCCACAAATTGTTGGCATAATCGACGAACGTGGACCTGTTGATTTCTCGGATAAGAGAAGGTGGAAAATAATAGCTGACGATGGGGATGGCGATATAACTGTAACAAGTAGTGAAAATAATATAAGGGATGCAGATGATTCTATTCCTGATAGTAATAGGAAAAACGATAAATTGTTAGGAACTAAGAAGAGCGTGAGTTCAGCTCCCTTCACAAAAAGTAAAAAAACGTACGACTCAGACTGTAGTCCTCCTAGAAGAAAAGAGAATAAAAATAACTCTGATTTAGATTTAAGTCCACCTAGAAACAGGCAAAATAACAATAACGTTGAGCACAGTCCTGCCAGAAAATCAAGAAAACATTCCAAACGAAGTAAAGACTACGAATCAGACTTGAGTCCACCTAGGAAGAAAAAGAATTCAAAGCAATCAGATTCGGATATTAGTCCACCCAGAAAGTGGCAAAGTAACAATAGTTCAGATCGCGGATCTGGGAGAAAATCAAAAGACTATTCAAAATTCAGTAAAAATTATGATTCTGACCTGAGTCCCCCTAGAAAGAGACAAAATCATTTGGACTCCGATTCTGATTTAAGTCCCCCAAGAAATCGGCGAAACAACAATAACACTGATCACAGTTCTATTAGAAGAGAAAGACAAAAATCGCATTCTAGACACGATAAAGATTATCATTCAGACCTGAGTCCTCCTAGGAGATCCAAGCATGATTCTCGAAATACTGAATCAACTGACAGTAAATATAATAACGATGGTCACAGAAGAAGGATGGATAAACACAGAAATAAACACAACATGGACAGTGATATAAATTCACCGGGAAAATCCCATAGAAGATCGAAAACACCTCCAAGAAAATCAACATCGCGATGGGATCATGAGCCCAGGAGAAGATCTAGAACTCCAGATAACCCAAAGGATCAGGACAGGCGAATGAAAAAAACTCTAGATGGTAAAACGGCAGGATTACAAAATGCCAGAGCATTAAGGGAAGAAACTGATGCACACAAGAAACGCGAGGCTGAATTATTCAGCAAGGTAAGGTATATAATTAAGATTATTTAGATTAAACACCAATTTATAAATACTATTCATTAAAAATTCTTTCAGTTGAGCGCAGACGTTAGTGGCGTTGGGCAAGCTGCTGTTCTCCGTGACCGTAAAACGGGACGGAAGCGAGATTTGGCTGCAGAAGCAGCTGAAAAGCGTGAAAAACAAAAAGTTCAAGAAGAATTGGATGAGAAATATGCCAAATGGGGAAAAGGGTAATTAATCATAAGGAAAAAATAATTAAATTGCACTCATTATCTTAATAAATAACTTTTATTTAATACAGTTAGCATATTAATTTATGTAAGATTAACTATGAAATAAAATTATTTCTTTCCAGCTTGAAACAAGTGGAGGATCGAGAAGAAAAATTAAAAAGAGATCTATACGAGATGAGTAAGCCTTTGGCAAGGTACGCGGATGATGCTGACTTGGATAAGGAACTTAGGGAGCAAGATAGGGAAGGCGATCCTATGTTGGAGTACATAAAACAAAAACAAATAAAAGAAGGAAAACGAAAACCAGGTAAAATGCAGCTGTCATTTAAAAATCAATTGGATTCTCTTGAAAGCAATATACACCTCACAGGTATCTGCATACGTGGCTACAAATTTTTTTTATTTTTTTCTTTCAGAAAAACCAAGATACGAAGGTACATTTATGCCCAATCGGTTTGGCATTAAACCAGGTCATCGATGGGACGGAGTCGATAGGAGTAACGGTTACGAGAAGAAATGGTTTGACGCTCAAAACGCACGTAAAGCTTTACAAGAAGAAGCTTATAAATGGAGCACATCTGACATGTAAAACAATGTGGAATTGTTAAAGCACTGCTAAAAAAAATATTAAGTTACTATGACGTGTACCTAATGCAATTTTTGTTGTCAATCATAAAAGTGCACTTTCACTAATCATATTTTTCCTTTATTTATTGTCTCTTAATGTGAAAGTTTATGAGATATACATAATCACTGCGTCTCTCAACAATTAAATATCACGGAACTAACCATGTGTTAATTAAAACACCAATTTCATATTCTATTTTCAGAAGGATATTCGAAACCTTTACCTTATTGATATATTTATAAATATAACGATTTACAATACGCATTGCGCTAATGAATTTCATTATATATGCGTGTATATCAAATAAGCAATGGAGACTGTGATAAACTGGTCGACTGTTAACAACTTATTATTATTACAATATTTAATCATCATGAATTTTTAATTAAGACCAAAGGATTATTCTTTACTAAAATTTCCATTTACCAACAACTTATAAAAGTTTTAGAATTAATAAAAAAAAAGGAAGACAATCGATTATATGCGAAAAAACCCCATATTTGAAAATAAAAAAAGGAACAATATCAATCTAGAATGACGGTTTCTCTCTCGGAATACTGATTAATACCACGTGCCACGTGGAGTAAATACAAATAAATTGTGCTTCCGTGAACTGTCAGTTATGACAGTTGGTACGAGAAGCATGAGCGAAAAAGTCAATGACAACTAGAGTCAAAAAAGTGTACATGTTGCCCGAACACTAGAATAATGGTAGAGTCCCTCTAGTAGAGGGACTCTAGAATAACGTATCGAAAGTATGGGAGTGACAATAAAAGGGTAAGAAAAAGAATTGTATGCACATAAGGAATTATATAAAAAAATCCATTGTATTTTTCCAATAAAAACAATTCCTTCCACGAAAGTAAATATATTCAATATAAAATAACTGTCATCCGGAAAAAGAATTATGTCATCAGTCGAGGCGCTCCTCAACCAAGGGTTTCGATCCGTTTATAGCCGCCACTGCTCGAGCCGACTGAAGTGGTCGCCCCGATACGTATATATCGATGTACGGCGTCGCGACCACGAAGTGTACTGGAACGTGTACGGCAGTGGAGGGATCCACATAGAGAGAGATAGCGCGAAAACAGGCCAATGTAGTATGTTGTCTCTATCGCACACTGTATAGTCTTTCAAAAAGTTAATGCTGAGAAAAAATATTGCTTGAAAGGAGGATTAGGGAAGACTGTTTGAACATTGCCCGTCCTCCAAAATTATGTACAAATGAAATTTTATTTAATTCAAATTTCTACGACGTGCAAGTGTCGTACTAAAACGATTTGTCGGCACTAAAATGGCGGAGCAATATTTTTGGTCGGCCTGTACACCACATGCGTAATTTAATTCGAAGAGGACAACTTACTACAGAGTGTGAGTGAGATAGTAGAGTCCTCGCGGGGTTATAGTTCATCCACGAGTTTGGTGTGGTTTTTGACAGTTCTAAGCAACGCAGTCCTAACTAAATGACACGTAGTTTTCCATAAAATAACGTAAATATATGGTACAATCGAAAAATTAAACATATTTACTCTAAGACCATGCATATGCATAGTTTGTAACAAACAAAAGCAGTGACACGAATGCTTTTCTAGTGACTTCATTGTTTTCAATCTGTCCAAAAACACATCGTAATCGTGGACAGACTATACCTCCGAATACAGCAAACGTCTTCCAGTATAGCTATATTTCAATAGTCGCGACGCAAGGGCAGGGTCGCCGGTAGTCAGTACGCCCCGCGACGTCGACGGGACTTCCTCCTCGTTGGTCGTCGTAGATTAGCCTAGGCACTAGTCTTTCATATGAATCGTTAATAGTGTTATAGGTGTTAAACAGTCTAAAGCACAAGGCTCATTAACGAGACGAATTTAATTCCAAAACGTCCATACATAAAAGCGCACAATTACGCGTAGTAACCAGTGAAAGAAAGAAGAAACAATAAGGGAGAACAAAACGGAGATACAACGCGAGGAGGGTCACATAGTTATATAGAACAGAGATTGAAGAAGGAAATATATATATATTTTCCAAGGAAAGTAGTAGGGCACCCGTAACACGCCAAGGAGTTTTATCGCGTAAAGGTGCGACTCCATAACGGCCTGTGATTTTTTCCATGCGAATTTCCTAACGTCCATAAAGGCGATACTTTTTCTATCCACAAATATATTTGCTTCGACAACCGGCGACCATATACATATATAGTTACCGCGAACGCGTGTTCGCTCTTGTATTCCTGGTGATATAAAACCGATGTTAATAAGAGACTGTTCCTAGATTAATTGCAATTAATAATCGGCCATATAAAAACGTTTACTCATTTCCACGAAGGCGGACAAACAGGATAAAGAGTCGCTGGTCAAGATGGGATGCAGTATCAGCAACGAAAGCGTGCAGCCTGTGGCTGAAGGAGCGAAGGAGGAAGCTAAGAATGTCGGTGAGTGAATATGTACTTTATTCTCTTTTATTCTATACTTTCATATTTTTATGTGAAAGTTACATTATTCCATCGCATGATGCCGTTTAGTTATGCTTACAGTAAAATTCACGTAACGATTTATTGCTTTGGTAGTTTACATACATTTTTTTGGTCTTTCAGTGTAGACGATCTCGTGTCTCTTGTTTCACCTGGAATTGCACGACGACCTTCACTTATTGATACAAATGGAGAAGTGTGACGCAATTTCTATTTACTGGTATTAGTATTAACTGTCCCTTTTATTTTTTTTTCGTTTCTCTTCTTCATACTTGTCCTATTCAATTCCAAAAAAAGTTCTAATTGAGGGACCACATTCCCAGCACGTTCCTACACTTTCTGATGCTTAATATTGATTGATATCCGGAAATAAGTACCCTTGGTAATAGGGCTCAATGGATTGTAGGCCGAACCGAAAAGTGTATTCTCTTGGCCGAGAGTTGTACGATTCCATTTCGAAAGCGAAAGTTTCATTGATTTTTAACAGGTGAAAAAAGGAAATGAATTTTTTTTTAATTTCGCTTTATAAAAACTGTACAAAACTATCATAAACCCACTGTCAGAAAACTAATGCCAGATTCATACGTGGGAGATACGCAGTGATATTAATAATTGAAAATGAATTCTCTAAAACATACACAACCAACAGGGAATTCCATTTGTCGTGAATTTTCGTTTTTTAATAAGTCAATTCATCAGACCAGCAGGGAAGGACCATGGGGATAAAAAATTGCGTCAAATTCGTATGTGTAAATGATTATTCTTCCAAATAATAAATGTTTAACGCGACAGCCATAAAGCAGCAGAGACATTTATCTTATTATTTTGCATATCCCTTGACTATTATATCTTAACATTTGAATATGTCATAGAGGTGTTAAAGGTTTTTCTTTTTTTAAGTATTCCCAGCCAAATCGAAACGAGTTCTAGAATGACGTTTTATGGCCAATGAATAATTTTCGCGTTCGCTACCCAAACTGAAAGAACATACATATATTCAAACCTAACCTAACAAATATATATACAATAGTATATGTTCATCCACATGGACGCCAATGTATTCCTAGATTGCATATCGTGATTGTGTGCACGCTTGAGTAACATAAAGGCTATGGGAAAGTACTGTATAACAAAATGGCTAGGTCATTTTTTTCAAAACCTCGCACCCTAACGCTATCGAACCTTTTCTCATTTATTGTAATATTATTTGACGACATTTTTTCCCAAGTTACCGTAATTGCCATACCGCAGGGTTCGATTGAAAATACAACATACATAAGTGATTGTAGTTGGTCCACGAGTGGGATATGCTTTTTTTGACAGCTCGAAAACAGTGAGGGTTCTAGCAAGGCACACGGTGTCATTGCCCAAAAATTTTCTTACAAAAATGAATACACATGGTTTTGAACTAATCGTATTTTTTCCTCCTATTTTAGGATATATTCACGTTAACTGATGTAAAACCACGTGTAATTTGCTTAATACTTGGCATTATTAGCCAATTGTCAAAAAACCACACCGAACTCGTGAACCGACTATAGGTCGCGTATCGAGCTCGGGATAGGTACCAATCAGTAATGGATTTTCACTAATTCGTCTTGAGTGCTATATTAACGAGATTTGTCGAAGAGGGTACAAGTACGATACGCATTTCCGTACTACGCGTACCCTGAGTAATACTGTACGCGATCATAAGGAACTTGCAATAGATTTATTTAGTCGGACGCCGTCGCGCAGAATCGGCGTTAAATAAAAAGCTACGAGGCCACTGTACGCTTGTCTGTTACTACTTGCCGAAATAAAAGGCCCTACAAGGCATCGATTGGAATCACAGAATCAAGATATCTCGAGGAACTTAATCAATGGTCTATTCTCCCGGGAGATAGATTCTTGTCCACTTAACGAAAGCACTGAGATACTTAGCCATGATGACTTCGAAACATCCCAATTCGCTGTAACGATTAGCATTGATTCTTAGTGATATAGGAATTTCTTTCGTGTAACGGCCATATTGTATTTAAGTACGTTAATTTTAGAGAGTATATATATATTTACACAGTTAGTACATATCTCGGAAATGTTGCGTGCAAAGTTGACCTCCTTCACGACATCATGGCAGATAGGTTGGTATGCTTATAAGTCCTATATAAATATTCTATTGTATCATTATCGCCTTGTTCCTCATATTTGGTACGTATCGTAAAATCATTTAGACTCTCCTCCTTGTTAACCTCCTCCATGATATCATGGCATATAGGTTGGTATGCTTGCAAGTCCTATAAAAATATTCTCTGTTTTATCGTTATCGCCTTGCTCCTCGTATTTGGCACGTATCTTCAAATCATTTACACTGTCCATTCGGTTCGGGATTCCTATACTTAAAGTAACAGTGATTGTAAGTTGAATGGAATGACACAGTGACTTGTCTTTGTGGGAATTTGATGAAGGGTTAATTTTTAGGTATATTTTTACTGGATAGACCTCACAATTTGTTTGGGGTCATTGACCAGCCAGTCGAGTTTGTAAGTGAAAGCCGGTATTCCAGCGTAGATACGTGGATTATCGATCGAGAAAATGATTCGGTAAATATTGAGGCCGTCGGGAAGCAACGACGAGACTAAATTATACCTACAATTAGTTTGCTTTTGCACTTCTGATTCGACTGCGTCAGATAATTTCATTGTTTTCAATGGATAGTCATCAAATAGATTGTTACTTTTCTATTATTAGATGAGACAGTCTGTAGTGGAAATGCAATTCCAATATGGACGCCTGTAGACGGGCGACGCGTGTACATACAATTTTATTCAGAGAAATAAGCGAGCTGTTAAATTTTCACGTGCACATCCATTATGGTATTTTTTAAATATTTTTTTGGGGAGAAGGGGGCATTTTTCTCAATATGCATTTACAAGTTTATTCTTTTTTTGCTCCATATAAAAGGCCACTGGCTTGTTATGTGGCGCGAGATAGGTTAGGTACTCGTGTTCGTTCCTCTTTTTCTGGGCGCGTCAACGAATGGCATTGACTTATTGTGAATATCTCACGGTTTTTCTAATTGAACTACGTCACGCGACATATGACTATTTATTGCGTGTTTCTCATAATTTAATTGACTGTTCGTGGGTACATTTCTATTAATTCTAATTTGTATGGGAATTGTATCTAAATATGTTTTGCGAGGATCGTGTAAATTTGATTGTTGAAATTATTGAAGGTTTTGAGGATTTTTTATGTTGAGCATTGATAAAGGGACTGTTTGTTCTTTATTGTAGATTTTAACTTCATTTATTATTTATAATAATTTAAATGTCTGGGTTTATAATGTCGTCATGCGACATTTAGAATTAATTCTGGAGAGGATATAGGGGTCCGCAGAACCCCAGATGATTAAAATTGTAATAGTAACTAGGCAATCGTATCTCTTCTAGGGTCAAGTACTAAAGGTATGAGTTAAAAATCATAGGAAATTCGAAACATGATAATAAGTTAAGCCAGGTTATATTTGCTCCAAACGAATCGAGAGTTGTGAGTGCGACAGTTGCTCATAAATTATATAAATATTTAGTAAGTTTCGTGATGAGTCGTTGAGCTACACTTTGATACATTCAAACATTGCAGGGTGTGACAAAGTGTCAAACATTTATAAATTATCCAAATTGAACTTTACAATTCGTGAGCTTTTGTCCAAAAATATTTCGTTATATATTGAGAAAAGAAAAAAATGATCTTTATCAATAATTTAGCCGATTTAAAATTGCAATATTGCGTAAAACTGAAGTTGCATCGTTCTCATCAGCGAAACTCGACAAGTCAAATACAGCGCAAGAAAAATCGATAAAAAAGTAGATGTTGCATGAACACAGTGGGATACAAAAACATTGAAGATTTTCAATGAAACTAGTTCGTTTTCTTTTCAGATTACTATTAGGCGACTGACAGTGACAAGACTGTACAATAGTTAAGCACGTATAGTTGGATAGGAATTCCAGGCATTGGAATTTGTGTTTCGCCATCATAAATCTAATGTGTATATGGAGTCTTAAGCTCACGTGGATAAATTTGCCGAAAATAATCCTGTCGAATCGTCGGCTCTTTTTGCAACCCTTACACGCTTGCGAGTAACGTGTGTCCGGTTAAGTTTCGGTTGGCTATGTGTTGGACTTCAGAGAGTTGGCTGTTGTGTCGAGCTATTCGCTTATTGATCTTTCCACGACGGCATAGAGCTGTGCTAGTGTTGTTTTCACGTATTTTCAGGTGAATGCTCTTAACCCCTAACCCTTGGTATTGTTGAGATTAGGAGGAATTTGCAGAAGTGCGATACGCGGCACCCCTGCTGAGAAAGGGCGCTTTAAAACCGGCCGAGCTTAAGTAGCACACTGCTTGAAAAAAGAGGCACGAAAAGGCAGCTTTCTTTTGCTACAATTATTATTCCTTTTAATTGAAATACTCTTCACGGTACTCTTGCATAGAACGTAGAGACTCTTTTGAACATTGCTCTAATTTTTGTTAAATACATGTATAAATACTCCCTCACGAGTATAACGAATAATGTATAATCGTACGAGGATAGTATTGAAAGTTCAATTTGATTGATCATTTTTCAAAGGACCTCAGATCTGTTTACTTGTTTTCTGTTTGCATTTGCATATCCAATGCGGTTCATTGATACCTTGTTTATCCTGTGGATCAATACACGCTGGTATTGTGTAGCATGAATATTCATTTGACCAATAATATTTTCATTGATGAGAGTAGTTGAGATAGCTATTATAGTACCTTTAGAAGTGATATGAATTTGTTGATTAAGAGATTAGTGTCAAATTGTTATTGTATAAAAGATACATGTAAGATCACTTCCTGTCAACGCTTTTCCGCCGTTTCGATGGGATGGTCACGTTCGACAGAAATAGTCACGTTGGTGGCTCACGAGAGAGGAACAGAGAATAAAGCCCCCGCAC